CAACTGGACCGACGTTGCGGCCCAGTGCTTCTCGTACTGTACAAACTACGGCTCACAACCACGACTGTGAACACTTGGATTTTAAAGACAACAACATTTTTTTTAAATTCCTTTGATGAAGCAGAAAATAATGTTTCTGCCGATCTCGCCTTCAATAATCTTGTGATCTCTCGTATTTACCGTTTTAAACCCACCTGGCGAGTGAACCATTAGCAGTGGGAGAGTGACCGATGAAGGATTAGTGACCTCTCACCTTTCGTCGGTTACCTCTCTCGTATTAACACAATGAAGGATGAAGTCAAATGTCCCGTTTGTTGGTTTTCTGTTGCATAAATGAGAGAAATAATGAAATGGGTTTGAAATTCCCGTCTCCTCTCAGCACGTCTCGCACTGATCCAATTACTGCTCCGTCAGTGTGTGTGTGTGTGTGTGTGTGTGTGTGTGTGTGATTGAATAACGCCGACCAAGACACTCTGAAGCCAACAAGCAGCCATGTGTGTGTGTGTGTGTGCTCATTACATGGATATGACTCATTACAAAGGTATTAAACTTATGAACAATAAATATAATATTTGAGAATCAAACCGGAGCCACAAAACACAAAATCCTCACTACGCACTATTGATCACATAGTCAACTATTGTCACTGTTAAAAGGAAGTCAAACGTCAGCTGCAGCTTCTGGAAAGTGAAGATTTCATTTGATTTCTTCTCGAAAATGAAACATCATCTTTAGCTCTGGCGAATATTATTGTCTAATTTATGAAACTAACTGTAACTGCTAAAAGTTTATTTTGCACAATATAAAGAGAGACAGATACATGACAGGCAGATACCACCGAGGTTCCTATATAAAATATGACCGGTACGTGGGTACCTCTATATATATATATATATATATATAGATATATATATATATATATATATATATATATATATATATATATATATATATATATATATATATATGTGACATCCAGCTCTCTACAGTACGTAAAAAGCAGCAGCAATCTGCACACTGCACGCATTCACTATCAACGCTGTGACCCACCCACCCACCCACACACCCACACCCACACACACACACACACACACAACACACACACACACACACGAAATTCCTTGTGGGCAATGAAACCAACCTATGGAGGAGTTGGGCTTTTCCCCCTTCTTCTTCTTGCTCTTCTTGGTCTTGCCTTTGGGCTGAGGGGATTCTGCACTGGGGGCTTTGCCGTTCTGCTCGGCCTGGGAGGCTGGAGGCGGTGACGGGGAAGGGTTTGACGCGGGCGGACTCCTCCTCCCTTCCTTCATCGGGGTCGGCGGTTGTTGTAGCTGCTGATGCTGCCTTTTTCCACTGGCGCCTCCACTGTGACACCTTTCCTCCCTCCTGGGTTCAGTGGTCGGGAGAGGAGCCAGGGCCTCGGCAGGCCTGATTCTGGTGGCTTTATGGTCCGGTGTAGTCCTGGGGAGGGTGCCGTTCGCTAGCTTTGCTGCCACATCGGAGCATTTGGGCAACTCTGGGGTTTTCTTCAGGGCAGACGCACAAGTGGCCACTTTGGCGGACGGCTTGGCCTTTACTTTGCTGGTGACCTCGAGCGAGGATGTAGGAGTGCCATTGTGGAGGAGGGCGTGACACTTGGCCTCAGTAGAAAACCCCCTCTCACTAGTGCGCTTGGGGCTGTGCTGTGTGTTGGGGCGGGGTGGCAGGGGCTCTAATCTGGGCTCCTTCTTTTCAGGGAGCCGGATGAGGGTTTGAAGCAGCGAGTGCGACTTTCCCTTGTGAAGGTTATCTAAGACGTTCTGAGCTGTCTGTCTGAGGGGCTGTGGGTTGTTTGGTGGGGGCGCGGTGTTTTCCTTCGCTTTCTCTTTCTTTTTCTTCTTGGCGGCCCGGTGGTGCTGCAGCTCTTGCAGCCGGAGCAGTTCCTTTTGAAGCGCTGCCTCTTCCTCTTCCTGCCGCTGCCGTCGTTGCTGCTCCTCCAACATCTGCTGCTCCTCCCTCTCGTGGGCCTCCGCCTCCATACGAGCCTTCTCCTCCATCTGAAGCACACAGAGAGAGACACGCTTTCGGGATTATGACAAGTTCGACCCAAAACAAATCCTGGTCGTCAACAAAGAGTCGTGCATTGCGTACTCCCAGAGACTGCACAGAGAACACCGGAGGTCATTGTTAAACATTTACCTTCTTCTGTTTGTGCCTCGCCCGTTTGGCCGCTTTCGAACTGGAAACCGGTTTGTTGTCGGCACTATTGATGAACTGCAATAGGTCCTCCACTCGCCTGTGGTCCTCCACCCCTCGATCCGGCTCGATCACCGGCTGCTGCTCCTCCCGTTTAGGCTGCTCCTCCTTACGTTTCGTCAGACGCAAGCGCAGCTTCTCTCGCATCTCTGCATAGTTTCGACTGGTCGGAGCAGCGGGGGGCTGGGAATAAAAAAAATTAAAAAACAGAATGATCAAAGCAATGATTACGTTGAGCAAATTGTGAAGGGGATCAATGCCCATTTCAAATTTAAAAAGAACTTGTAGATTTGAGGTGAACAGTATTAAGTGTGTGCCTCTCACCCCGCCGTGCCCGAAGAACTCGCAGTAGCAGCAGTCGCAGTACTTTCCTTCTTTCTGGTTGGTGGAGGTGGAGGTGGAGGAGCTGTGCTCGGAGCAGCTGTCGTCGTCCTGACTCTCCTCCCCATCGTACGGCTGGTGCTCGTACGCCCCGTTCCCCTCACAGCGATGGCCTTCGCAGTCCGGATCGCTGAAAAGAATCGAGCTATAAACTTGGTCCCAAATGAGACTTTTCGGTCATCGCAAACAACATAATCACATCTCCAAATCAATTTGTCTCATTCCATGGCATTAGGTTTGGTTAATGTCCTGTGAATCTGTGTTACCTGCAGACACTGGGTGGAGCACTGACGGGACCATCTGCTGAGGAGGCCGGGGGCTCGGCAGGCGGGAGGCACAGACCCTGGTGGGCTTCGATGAAGTCCGGGACTGGGGCAGCCATCTTTGGGAAGGGCTGTGATCCCAGTGTGGGAAGGTGCGTGGTGGGTGCTGGGGGAAGGGTGGGGGCCGAGAGTGGCGGGAGGGAGGTGAGTCCGGCGGGACAGTTTCTAGGAGGGGCTGGAGCGGGTGGCCTATGGTCCTCTTTACCTAGATTGTGAAAAACATCGTCTGGAGGAGACAAGAATATATTGGTTCAGAGCATTGATTAGTTCTTCTTTGTTCTTAAAATTAAAGTACTCACAAACATTTTCACACATAGAAGCAAGTTAACCCATTTTTCTAAAATCCGTAAATTGCTTGTTTACGTTTCCATTATTTTTCTGCAGGGATTATGTTATTAAGTGGCCCATCAATTGATCAATATCAGGGCGAACCCAAGCGATTCTGGCGAACCGATGCTAGCGCCTGTATTACCTAAAGAGTTGGGTCTTTTGGATGCAAGGTGGATGAGGGGGTTATTACTTGACTGGACCGTGGTGGCAGTGCAGGACACAGAGCACGTGGAGGCAGAGGTGGCCATCACTACGCGGTTGGTCTCCATGAAGGCATCCTGGAAATTGTAGAGACACTTCTTCTTGGCGCCACTCTTCTTCTGCTGTTTGGCTTCTGAAGAGGAGCATGAAGACGACGACGAGGACGAGGACGAAGACGACGACAGCGACGACGAGGCGGAGCAGGAAGGGGGAATAGGGGTGGGCAGCGAGGGGTGCTCCCCTTGGGGTCCGATCGATGACGATGATGCTGGGGGGAGGGGCATGTCAGCGAGCGGCGGGCCGAGCACGTCACCTGTTGATAAATGTTGATTTTAACTCGTGTTTGTTTGGATTTCTTTTTTTGTGTGTCGTGCCGTGTCGTGCCAGAGGCTCACCTGGAAGGGACTCGGGCAACAGGACAGATGGATTCCAGCTCTTCATCACAGCAGCGTCCCAAAGGTTCTCAAACTTCAGCGAGAGACACTGCAGCGAGCTGTTCCAGTCTCCCGCTCCACATGCACCGCCGAAGCAGTTCTGGTAAACGTGCTCCGGTATCGATGGGCTGAAGGCCGGCTGCTTGGCCGCGGAGTAGTTGGATGTAGGATTCGGGGGCAAAGGCTTAAAAAGAGAAGAAATAGGTTGAAAACATTTATTGTGAGTATGAGAGACTGATTTGATCTGCTCTCAACTAGGATTGGCTCCAGCCTGACCCCTTGTGGCAGATAATTTAAATTACAGGGAAAGTGAAACTAAAATGCAATTGTGCTCAGTATTGTTCTTGGAAACATCAAAAATCCCCAGTGATACGGAAATGAATCCACCTTCTCGTAAAAGGTCCAGTCATAGATGCAATTTGTCATACTAGATAAAGAAAGTAGTCGGGATGAAATAATTCGCACACAGTGGCGTGTGGGCTCTGGGATTACGCTCACCTTGTTGTGCGTGAGAGGAGGACTGGGAGGGTAAAGTGTAGGGTGCAGCAGGGGTCGGGAGAAATTGTGCAGGGGCAGGTGGCCGTGGATGTGGGGGTAGAGGTGCAGGGCGGGGTGGGCAGGAGGTGTCTTGCTGTCTGTGAAGAACTGGTGTCCAACAGTGGGAGGAGGTGCAGCGTGGAGGCGACTGGCGGGTGGGCAGGTTGCAGGGGCGGGGGCCGAGGAGCCCGGGTCTTGGTTGCACACGTGGCACTCGCAGGCATGCTGGACCGGTTCTACCTGAGAGTGGGGACACGGGTCAGAAATCCCTTGTGTGATTTGTATTCTGAAGTGTCTGTTCCTCCACTCTGAAATATTATCTTGTTATGTTGACGTTGAAACAATAATTTGTTTGATAGATTTCATCATTTTGTCCGTCAACAAATCTTCTCACTAATTTGTATCCGCTAATTTCAATGTGTGGATTTCCTTCAACACTTGGGGGGGTGGGGAAACAAATTGTTGGATGTATTTGCCATTTTATAACTTTTTCAAGTTCAAGGATTTGACAGCTGTTTCATTATGAAAACAAACTTTCAATCACTTTATGTCCAAGCAATTGTAATAAACGAAGCTTATTAAAGAAGGTGTTACCACACCTGTTGGTGGTTGTAAGAAGGTGGAGGGCTGATGGTCTTTCCGGAGGAGAGCTCCTCCCGCTGGCCAAGGGGCTCCCCACCGACCTCACCATACACTTCCTCCTCGTCACCCTCTGATGAGCTGCTGCTGCTCATCCGAAGACACTGAGGTAGAAATGTGTTGAACATAGAATATACAATATGAAATTAGGTGAGGAACACTGGACACAACCGGGTTCCACTCATAAGGAACATCGATTCCATCATCCAGATACCTCGCCGGGGTTATTCACAACTAATCGGAGTATTTTCTTTTCTTTACACAGAACTCACCCCTTCCTTTAGTTCCCCGTTCTCGCATTCCCCATTGATGTCACTATGGAGGCCGTTACCAGCAGCGGCCACAACACTGCTCTCCTCATAAGCAGTCAGAGGGTAGATGTCCCCGAACTTATTGGACAACGGAGGCACTTCGTCATCATCACTGATACTAAAAGAAGACATGAGGAAATGAGTAAACGTGTCCGGGGGAAAGTGACAGAGGAGGAAATGATTGTTTTATATGACGAATAGTGCCATATAAAATGCGCCTAAAGCCTAAAGCCGTAACTAAGACTCGCTGACTTACAACGTGTTGGTATCTCCTTCAGGCAGAATGAGCCGTGGATGCTGCTGGATGGTGATGGGGGAACTGGAGTTGGAGCCGGAGGCGGAGCTGCCGGAGGAGAGGCTGGGGGGGTGCACCTGAGCCAGGTAATCGTGGGGGGCTTCCCCTTGCAGGGGCAGCTTGATGTGGAGGTCCTCAGCGATGGGAGAGTCCATGATGCCACAGGTGAGGATGTGGGATAGACTACAGTCATCACACGTGCACCTGTTGGCAGGGGTGGGTGATACGGACATTCTTTATACTACAATAATTAAATCCACATATGTAGGTACATCCATCCTCTTAAGTCAATGTTACCTCTCAAAACCATGTTCTTGACATAATACAATATCAATAAAAGGCCCTATGATGAAATTATTACCAAACCTCACCCATTAGGAATAAAGGGGGCCAGCTCATAGTGGTCTTGCTTCGGATAAAAAAACATCCCATTTAGTGGGACATCACAATGCGCTCAATGGGATGTTTTTTGTACGAGCTCCTTGAAGCCCTCGGCCATTTAAGTTGTTAAATGGCCGAGGGCCTAGATAGCTCCAGCTCTTCATGAGACAGTGGAAACGCTGCCAACCAATTGTGGATACTCACCTTCTTCTATAATTGCAGTTTGGGCAGTCTGGAATACTCAGACGAGATGAGAGCATCCTCATGGTGTCTGTGAAGTAGTGTTCTCCGGTGGGGGGCTTCTTACTGTTGGGTAACTATATAAAGAGAACGCAATCTCAAAAACAGCTTCGAGATGCAGAACTACACGTTCAAAACCGGTCCACAATATTGTTGTGTACCTGTTCTTCTATGAACCTCCTCTGCTTAAAGAACTCCCAGTCCTCCTTCAGCATTCGCTGCTTGGTCTTCAGAGTCTGGAGATGGGCAAATAATTATAACAGTGTGAACCTCCATGAATGAAAGAAATTACTATTTGAATTTGAGATAAAAAAAAACAACCTTTTACTCTGTTATACAAGGTATAATTTTCAAGTCGCTTACGTTTTTGCTAATCAAAGACTTGTGGGGCTCTGTTCTTTGGTTGGTGAGACTCTGACCCTCCACCTTGAAAAGCAGCTGCAAAAGAGGCACAACCGTAGAGCTTTAATTATGCAATCTTATTATGCAATCTTAAAAAAAAATCTTTTTATGAACGATTTCCTGTCTCAAATATGTTTATGCCTTGTCTTGGATGTGTGTACCTGTTCGTCTACATAGTCATCGATCCTCTTCTCACATTCCTGCCATTCAGTAGCCACCAAAGCCATGTCATGCTGCAGTTGATGGTAACTTCCTAACGAGGTCCTGTACATATCTTCGTTGTATGAATCGTGGGAGGCTGTGCCATGTCTAAAGAAAAAAGCAGGGTAACACAAGTAATCAGACACTTGAATGGTTCAATTTGACAACAGATGAGTAGTTCATTTGAGTTTACGAATGTAAACAGTTCATTTGAGTTTGGAACATTGGTCCAATGTGAGTCAATAACAGCAGATTTAGTGATTGCGGTGTACGAGAGACTAATATCTTCTCTCAATATTCTAGTTTAACCATATCTTACTTCAGCTGTGCAACCAGTGCAGGTAAACTGCTGTGCAAGACGGGTTCAGAGAACACCAGATTCTCAAAAAGGTGCTTGTTGTGCAGCTCCCACGTCACCTGGAACTTCTGAAGGTGCTCATTTTCCTGAAAAAAACAAAAACATTGAGAATCATGGACATGATGAGAGACTCTGCATTGCCTTTGCAGGACAGCTAACACGGTTTCAGTAGCCGTGTCTGCACCGAGGATAAACTCACCAAGGTGAGCAGAAAGCTGCTGATGGTGCGTGCAGCTTGACAAAGCGCGTTGTACTCCTCCAGCAGCAGGGAAATGAACTGGTAGGCCTGAGGAGGACCCAGGGCTGCAGCCACAGTGCCCGCTGGTCCTGCAGTCTTGGGTCCCGTCGAGAGGTGCTTCAGTAGCCGCACCTTCATTTCCAAGACGTATTCACGCGCCTGCTGCTCCAACCGTTGATACAGCTGGTAAGGGTCCTTCTCACAGAGTCTACAGGCAGAAAGAGGCAACACATTGAGACCGGACTAATGCACAGAACGTAGACTTTGTGGGTAAAGTCTGAGTATTTCCGTGGCTATCTCCGCCCATTATTATTCTGTGCCATGTATATTACAACAAGGGCCATTTCGCTGCATCCTGTGCTTAACGCCACCCAGAACGATGTGGTTGGTTTTAAGAAATGACAAAGCGAGAAAGTCTTTTCCCCTGGTAACAGAATGATGATGGATGCAACCAGGAGATGTGTCTTGCTATGTGATGTTCAGACAAGTTGGAGTTATTAAAAATAAAAACTACGCAGAAACTACGACCAATATAAAACTAGTTCCTTCTTTAATCTCCCCCTTGTTTACAGTTTAGAAAGTTCCCTCGGTGAGTCATGGCACAGTCGATGGTTGGAAAGGAAATAAAGGGGCATTGGGTTTCTAATCTGACCGATACAGTTGATATGGAATTAGTTTCAACTTGTTGACATCATTCCTTTCAAAGGGCTTTTAGGCCGGATTGTTTTTACACAGCCTTTTCTTGAATGCATCCAAACAGAGACCCCTAGTGGACAAACACCCAGAAGACAGAAATCAGTCGTTTTACCTATCGACCAGCTCCTTCATGCCCTCCTTGTCCCTCTCCAGGGGCTGGTCGTGGTCATCTGCCAGTGGTGTTCCTGTCTGACGGTAGATGCAGCGCACCAGGTAGCGGACCTCGGACCAGTGGTTCTGTAGCTGCTGCGACTCCCTCTCCGATTCCGCAGAGATCTCCCTGTTATTTGGGACATAAGTGAATTTGAGAACAGTCAACAAAAAAAGACTAAAACAATGCATTCAAATTCAATTCCCTGTCAACGGCAATCGCTGCGAAACTGACCGCCTCTCGTTGCAGGCTTCACAGCTGCACACGGTGTCGGCCGGTATCGGCGCGGTGAGGTCTGGCGCAGGCAGCATGGGCACAGCAGAGGTCAGTCGGTCCCCTGTGGCTGCCTCCTGGCCGAGGTTTCCGTTCCCCACGGGCATGTGCAAAAGGAAGTCCTGGCTCTGTAGGAAACATTCCAGACACCACAGTGAGATACCCAGCGGTTTTGATGCTTTCCCGAAGTTAGACAGGAGACCCAGTCCTGTGTTGTTTGTCAATTCTGTTGATTATGTTCATACTGACACTGCTGCATCACAGCAAGAGGGACGGCTTTGTGTGGAGTCTGCTTGCCCTCCACGTTCTCTCTGCGGTTTAGATTAGTTGACCTTAAATGGCCCTCAGGTGTTAATGTGAAGGTTTGTCTCTATGCGTCACCCCTGTAACCTCAGCTCAAAGTCAGCTGGAAATACGCTTCAGCATCCCAGAGAATTCCCCTGAACAGGATAAGGGGATAAAGGTGATGGCCGTTTCAATGCCTTAAGTCCAAAACATAGAGCAACAACACATTACATGACTGCCACAGTATGTGTTACCATACCATACCATCCCAAATAACAAATAATATGAAGATTGAATGCGCACCCGCTCTACCCCTGCGCCACGACGACCCCAGAAGATGGTTGACTGAGACGTCCTCAGATTGCTTCTATTAGATACATTACAGGTCATTTAGCTGATGCTTTTATCCAAAGCAACTTACATTTTTAACCCATGGCTTATTACATTTTTGCCTGGGGAGCAATTAGGGGTTTGGTGTCTTGCTCAGGGACACTTCAAGATGGGACATGGGGCAGCCGGGACTGGAACCACCAACCTTGCGGTTCCCAGCGCACCCTGTCTACCCCTGCGCCACGACACAAAGAAGAAGGACGTGCTATGAGCCGACAACAGCAGCCCGGGATCAGCCAATCCAAGGAGAGGATCTTGCTCCCCAACAGGGATGTCAGGGGGCGAGTGTTTCTCCCTTGAATCACTTATTAAGATACATGCCGATGTGAGAGATCAGAGACGGCCGCCTCATCATCAAAAACCCAGCGCAGCGGTCATGTTTCTATTGGGTCCAACCCTTCCGCAGAGTAAAAGCTATCCGGTGGCTCGGATGTTTACTACGTGGCCGTGACATTCTGAGTCAGCATCAAGCCCACTGCTGGGAGGATGCAGAGGGACAATACATTAAAGAGGAAACCAAACCCAAGCCACACAGCCATGGTGCATCCACAACAAGGAGAGCAACCGCTCTGACATAGCGGTCCGCCTTGTGTAAAGCCTTATGGTTTAGTTTGTATATGAACCAGCTCAGCAATACAACACCTACAACCACTTTAGATACAAGTGACGTTTTCAGTGGTACAACTGACCACTGTTAAGAATGTCCCTGCATTTGGAGAGGTATAAACTTGGGAGAACCTTAAAACACGGGACAGAAAGGATGCGTGTCATTGTAGTAAAGGAAAATTGCAACAGCTGTAGGCATGCGTTAGTTTTGAAATTCTGATACAATGAAACTCTGGTGGGGTTTTTTTGATCAATGATTCAGGAACTCGCCATAAGTCAAAGACGATGATCCAGAATGTGTGTTAATTATTAATTGTAGTTAGCAGAGATGAATTACACGATACTTTGAACAGACAAGAGTTTACTTGAGGCTCAGGTCACTCAACCAACAACGATGCGGCATTTTTAAATCAGCCATTGGTTCCGCTTAAAAATGAATAATGCAAGATGAAACTATTGCAGCAAATGACTGCTCATAACTTGCACTTTATAAAATAAAACATGTAAAGGAGGGGTTTCTTCATTTATATATATATATATATATATACATATATATATATATATATATATATATTAGAGTTTGTATTCCAGTAAAAACAAAACAAAAACATATTTTTCCGCTTCTATATTGGCGTTGTCCTCACAAAAGGCGCAAGCTGAACACATAAAGGAGCTCTTTATATCAACAGGCATTAGTCTCATACAACATACGCATTCATACAACTCAGGCCAGAGAGCATCATCACAGTCATGCTCTGATGCGTCAGGCAGAACCAACTGCAAAGTGAAAATAACATTAAAAGTTACGCTTACACACACCGTAAAGAATATAGCCGTTTTTAATCCACTGCATTATCCTTTGTTTTACAAAAGGTGACACTATTTGCATATTTTGGCAGAGTTACTATCGTCTAATTATAGTTCAAAGTGAAGCAAATTCAAAATACGTCTTTGTTGTTGGTTTTTAAACAGCAACACCGGTTTCTTCTGGTTGCTTTTCTGGCATAGAAACACAAGCGCTACATCATCCACTGAGAGACTGGCTGCAGCTGTGCGAGTTGAACATCAACCCTTCAGTGCCGAGACGGATGACGTTTGCAATTTGTGGAACCAGGGAAAGGACCAGCGGGTCGCTCACTCCATTCACGTACTTTTCCCCGTCGTCTTTGAACTTCCGACACCTTCCCGCACAACATCGAGACACCGTTACGCCGTGGCGTCTTACCCCCAAAGACTGCTCCAGCGCAGTGTGTCGGTCCTCCTTCTCCACTGTACGTCTGCAATCGGAGCACACCCACAGAGGCAGCTGGAGGGCGCTGGCGGCCTTGTTGGGCTGCGTCGTACCGTTCTGGCCCGAGATCCCCGCCTCCGGCGGTATGGGAGTGTCTTTGCGCTCGCATCGGCATAAGAGGCAGCTATCGCCGGCCGTGTACGGAGCCCGCTTGTTCATGCCGAACGTGAACGGGGTCTGTGGAGAGTACGCGGTAGTGAGAGGAAGACAACCCATCAGGTACCAGACACATAAATGATCATTTAAATGTTTTCATTATAACACAATGAAAAATGACAGAAAAATAGTGGGATTGCGGTTGTTGTGTGATAAACATTAAAACACTTAAATCCCTATGGACCTAAAGCTTTTCTTTAAAAAATGATGTGGAAATTGATCCAAATTCTCTCCAGGATGAACCTGTCTGCGATACATTAAGTCTGCAGCTCAACTTTGTAAACCTTTGCATTCTGGGTAAACCAGCTATGTAAACTGCCCCTCATTAAAACACTGGAACCTTTTCTAAATGTGCAACCTCCTCCGTGAGCGAACCACAAACACATAGTTACCAGGGAGACAGTTCAATTAATGATCTCAACATTGGCACATGTTTTTAAAAAAAGGGTGGCTTTGCATCTATGTCAGCATCATTTTCTGGGTGTACCAGTAGTTTCCATGAGATTCTCAATCTGTGGGTTACACATTCGCTCCTCTAGCCATAGTATTTTCTGTGCACTTCTTATCTTGCCTGTATAGCTTGGTATACTGTAACGGTCTGACAAAAAGTAGCACAGTAACAACTAAATGAATCTGTGTATTATATTTGAGAATGTGTTTTGCCTGACCTATTTAGAGTAGCATAGTAGCATAACATAAGCAGTGTTAACAACATAAAAAAATACCAGGAGTGCATTATTTGATTTGTTGTACGTGCAGAATGACTTTGTTTAGTGTCAATGAAAATGATTTACATTCTATACGAATTTTACTGCATATGGCCACAGTTCTTTGCATTCAAATAGAAATCATTTGGACATAATGTCATCTCATTCATTGTTCTGATGCTGTGACATTCAGTGAAGCTGGTGATCTATGTTAGTGAATATTCATTTGACTGTCCAAGATCTTAACAACAGGTCAAAATATAGTTTGGTTGAAGACAGAATTTTGAGAAGTAGTTTGAAGACTGGTCCCGTTACATATGGCTGGATGCTAATAGTGCTGACCACGCATATGCAGCGTTCTAATACTGCTGTCAAAAAAAGTGCTGCAGAGACTGAGATGCCAGCTGTAATTGATCACTTAGTGCAGGCTGTCAATACGATGATTGGTAGCGTAAATAGTGATGTTGAAACAGTTCGATGACATGCGGTGGCATAGAGCCCCACTGTTGTTGCCCATAAGATTTTGATATATTTGACATTTCCGGCAGTTACAGTCACTAAACATTTCAAATTGTGCGTGCAAAGGTAAATAAAGAGCGACTTCTTCCCCTTCTGGTCTGCCTAAACTTCTGGCATAAAAGTGTAAACTATATTTGACGAATAGAGGGCGTTTTTTTCGAAATCCAACTCTGGACTTGAATCGATTTCTGAAACATCTGATGGGAAATTCACCTGAAGGATTGCGGAGAAGACCGCATTCACTGGTCCTTCTGTAAATTGTGGTGTAACACTGCTGCTTACCTGAGGGACACAAACAACTTGTTCATTACATAGAACCTACACACGATGTTAACCAGAGTTAGAAGTCTAGATCAGTCTTTTTACTGAGTTTCCAATAGATCTAAATGTGTTGACAAATACAGTTACTATACAGGCAGACTACAATGTAAACATAATGTGTCCATAACGGGTGTTATGGCATTTCTTCCCACTTGTGTAAAAACAGATTTAATTGACCCCGAAAGTGACCTGCTGAACATTAATTGCAATTAATTATCAACTACACGTCATTTACACAGAAATGAGCTAACACCCTTCGGCGTCACTGTTACTTGTGTTTTTCTGTGCTTACTTTTGTGGCAGTGGTGTAAAACTAGGCCACTGTGCTGATAGTTAGTTTGTTTAGCGCATTGCCTGTCGAACATAACGTAGTTAAAAGTCTTTATAAGCCAGAAAAGTGGAAGGTCAGCTTGTACACATCGAGGCCCGACGAGGCTGAAGTTGTTACTCCTCTCAACTGTTAGCCTTTGCTAGCATTCGTGTTTATCTGCGTAAAAGCAGCCTATCCGTCCGATGTGTCGAACCGCGCGACACTCCCAAATAGTCTTCGCTAGGCCGGTGTATTCTCCACCTACCGCACCTGGGCTGCACTTGCTAATAAACGACACTTCGCGGTGACTTAAGCTGCCGGTCGATTCGGCTGCGATGTCTTAAACTTGAGCTAACGGTGGTTACGTCCCGGTTTGACTACCGCAGGTAGCTCAACGCTAATGTTTACGACAGTGTAATAAAAAAAAAAATACAGCGAGGCCGGTCCGACCGGGCGGCCACTCGGACTCGGCACCACGGAGCGTAAGACGCGGCATTAGCGCTAATTGAGCCAGTTAAATTTCTTTAACTGGCGTACGTTGGCTCGCTAGCCGCACTCCTCGCATCGGTCTCGGGCCCAAATCAGACTGGTGTCGCTGCTAGCCACTCACACCGTTTTTTATTTTAATTTTTTTTTTTTTTAACATCCACCGGCTTCGGACGCGAGACACTCTCCTCACCTCTCCGTTTACGCCCGCCGCGGACCCGATAGTCCCGTTGCCCGCATTGCCGGTTGTTAAAAAGCTCACGACGGAGGCGGGTGTCGCTGTTCCCGCACAGCCCAGGGCCGAGGCGACCCCGGCCTTGCCACCGCTGGTATTGCAGACAGCGCTGCAACTACTGCCACCGCCCCGCTTGTTCTTCCTGCGTTTAGCCCCTCGCTTAGCATCGGTTGGGCTCATTTTTCGTCGGCGGTTATTCCTCCACGAAAGAAGCGTGACGACGTGCCGTCCAGACTTGGCCGGCGTCTCAACTGGAATCCCTGGCGCAACCACTCGGGCGTAAATCCGGTTGACAGCGATTTAGAGACTCCCCAAAAACGACAGACACTCTGTTCCATCTAAGTGCAAGCCGACTTCATAGACTCCAATATGGCCTCTAGCTGTGCTGCCTCAACTCGGCAGTTGGCGTTGCAACTGTGCGTCTCCCTGCCGGGGCTTCTGGGAAATTGAGTTTGTTGTTGTGTCACTTTTTTATTTTAGCAAACTACAGTTGGAACAACATACTTGCTGTTGTTTGTAGCGTAAATAATACAAGAATGACTGGAATTGCTCCTTGTTTTTTATTTGGTTGTAGAAAAAAAGGAATTAAAGTTATTTCAGAACCTCGGCCCCAAAAAACTGCGAGAATCACATCTGAACAGCAGGGGGAGAGCGCGCGCAGCGGTCCGCTTCTGATGACAGCCGAGGGCCGCGCGCACTGAGGCGGTCTTTCTCTTTTTTTTCCGGGGTTTGAAACCGCACGTCTGGTGTTCTTGAGGAGAGTCGAGCGCCGTCGATGGTACATTTTGGTAGTATACCTATGCGACTTCTGCCCCCGGCCCAAGGCGCCCTGTCTCTCGAGGGGGGAAAAAAAGAGGTCGAGTACAGTTCGGGGCAGCGGGGACTCCAGCGAGCCACCGCCGCGGCTAACCGTTCGTGCTAAGCAGTTAGCCACTAGCGCGAGACCGGTAAGTTAACGTACGGGCCAAAGTTGTGAGCATCGCCATTCGCTTGTGGCGTCAGGGAGGGTGAAGCGGGGTGGGGGTCGTATTATTAAACTTCGGCCGTTTAGTGCTTGTATTTAAAGTTATTACACCGGGTCGTTGTCCGCTGTTGTTGCTAGGTAAACGTTAGCAGGCGACACGTCAACGCCTCTAAAGCAAAAACGCGTTAAACTAACTTCGCAGAATCAGTGGACATCTGCGAGCTGGCGGACCGGGAGCTGGGGGAAACTTGCGTCATTTTCCTGGCGTGCCTCCTTTACGATTACCCGTAGCGATGGAATAGAACAATGGCACTTCCTTGTAGGGTGCATTTATGACTTTTTAGACCCCGTCGCTGGTCACGCTAGTCACTGTGTGCCGCAACAGGTGACGTTAGCTAATTGTTCATATGTGAAAGCCACTTCCGGTATGTTGCCATGATGGTGCCAATGTTTGACTGTCAACTGTAGGAACAACAGCATCCACGTCTCTGCCTCGCTACCCGACCCGACCTTGCAATCGTCAGACGAATGGGTCGTATTTTCCCACAGCGAGCTGACAAAACTAGGAATCCACACCGTTGCATCGGCTTGGCAACACTAAGACCCCGTGTGTGTGTGTGTGTGTGTGTGTGTGTGTGCGTGTGCGTGTGCGTGTGTGCGTGTGCGCGCGTGCGTGCGTGGATGGGTGTGTGCGAGTCTCTATTCAATGTATTTTTCTTATTTACGCTTGAGATCATTAGAATCAAATCAAAGTATTCTATATGTGAATAAATCACGAACTGATTTACAAATGGTTTCAACAAACAAATGTGTGGGCTGAAAAAGTATTCGCTGTATTTGCAGGAAATTAGTCCAAATAATCCATCTATGTGTGTGTGTGTGTGCGTGCGTCTTTGGCCCTGTGCTGTATGGATGCATATGTTTCAGAGGAAAACCGCATGGAAACAAATGTACAACCAGGCAACAATTAGATCAATTTATTCTACGTACCTTCACTCACAATAATACATTTGTGTTTATATGTCTTCTGTTGTAGAGATGTAGTTTCCACAATCCTGGAATATTTTTTACAGCCAGATGCTTTGAAGAGTGTTATTGAACAGCCATCTTGATTTTTTTTTTCAAAGATGTATATCTTGTAGAAAACATGCATGCCTAGCACTGACTTGAATGCACTGGTAGGTTTGTATAATTGCACTCATTTATTTTATTGTTTTGGTGCACCACAGGCTGTCAGGTGGCTTGGTAGGACCCATTTATTCCCATCTATCTGTCTGTTTTCAGGTATGTCTGAAGTTAGTCTTGAGGCCGAATCGGGGAAGACCTCAGCCGAGGACTCTCAGATGGATTGCGAGCGGGATGAAAAATCAGAAGAGGGTTGGAGTGATAGAGAAGAACAGGAGAGTGTAGACGACAGTAGGCAAGGAGGGGACACAGACGAGGTGCTATACGACATCGATATTGACAGCGCTGGAGAAAACGGTGACGAGGCCACTCTGGAGGAGGATGAGGGCGTTCAGAGGGCAAGTGCAGCACCGCTCGGCGCTGCACGCATGTCTGACAGTGTAGAAAATGAGGGACAGGGGATAATTCGTCACGTTGAAGCCGCTGAAACGCCATTGGAAAGTGGAGGTTCTCGCACTGAAACAAAGGTGATGTCTACCGTCGCTTCGGAACGCGAACCTCTCTAAGCGCTTCCTCCCTGTGCTCTTGTTCGTGTTGCCGCTGCGGTCTTTACTCGCTGTGATGGTGGTGGTCTCTTTCTAAAGCACCCAAACTTGAGCTGGGAAGCTTTATCTTACATGATCAACACATTTGTTTCTCCCTGGTAGACGTGTCGAGGCTTTCATTCTGCTTGGCTGGAGGTTTTAAAGCTGTATCGCAGGTGTAGCCGTCGCTCTGTGTTGATGGGGCAGTTAGTGGCTTTCCTTCCTTGTTGTGTGCTGCTCTGTGAGGTGCTTATACGTTTCTGTGAGCCGATCGAGGCTTCACATATTTCCTTTTGCTTTGTCTAAATGCTGGCTTATGTCAAAACAATAGTTGAGAAGGATGTATTTCTTTTTTACCATGCAATCACTGTATATTATGATAAAGTACAAGTCAGTAAGTATTCACTTCTCACTTCATTTTGCTCTGTTTTGTTGGACAATGCCTCTGTGTGCACAATGAGTGTCGATGTGAAATGAGACCATTTCCTCTCAGTGTTTCCCTGTTTGTAAGTTCCACATACCTACAAACACATGACTGGGTAAGTGCAGAAGATTGGAGCTCCAACTACACATTCTCTGGCAGTCCCACGATTCTTGTGTTACTGCAATGTGGGACTCCTTGCACTGTTGATTCACGTTTCTGGTTAAGTGCCAGTATTACAGGTCAGATTGCAAGGATTTCAAATCATAAATGCGTCGCTGTTGTATCCCAGAGTTGTCATTGTTTTAAATTGAGAAACATTTTCAGTCCTTTCTGCAGCTTGAACCTGGCATTTTGCATCCAGGTTGTGTCGCAATCTGCTGTAGTTTGAGAGGCAAGCGACGATTCTTTCCTCTTCAGCTGACGCGGCTAATCGGAGCAATTAGGTTATTGTTGTTACCCCTTCTTCCCACGTCATTTTAGCTCGTATCCAGGATACTGACCTGAAGGGAATCGCACTGGGTGACTTTCCATACCTGGCCTTTTCATATGCTGATTCATTTGCAGCCACTTTGCTCCGTAGGATCAGTAGAAGCTTCCCTGCAGATGTTGGCTTGTAATCAGTCCCGTTGCAATGTGAGACGCCTCTTAAAGTGAGATACATGGGTACTTCTGAAAAGGTAAAAAACAAACAAAAAAAACGTGCTTGTCAGCAGATCCAACCGGTTTTTATTTACATACTATTTTAGAAATGTGTGCAATCAAAGGTGTTTCTCTCCCTGGCAACCTGTTAGAACTTGAGTATTATCAGGTGGTTTGGTGTATCTGCAGTAGTAGGGGAAAGGTCTCCCAGCGCACGTCTCTGCTGAGCTGCTTGCATGCAGGCGTCAAATGGCCTTTTAAGTATTTATGTCACTGTCTTTCTTACACATGCCGACCGTAAATCTTTCCTTTGCTCATTTTGATATTCTGGTTGAGCGTGTAGGACTTCTTTGGTTCCTGGCTTTAAAAGAGGAGGATTCAAGTCTGATTTGCTACACTAAGCTCTTCACATACATTTCAACCCTTTATAAACACATACAATAAATAGAAAATATTTTTCTCCATAAGATCACTTTTCCCACATTTTTTATGATGCTTTGTTTTTGAAGGAGTTTTGATTTTAAATCAAACAAACCATTTTCTGGATGTCTCTTTTAAATAGCATTCTTTAATATAATGAGCTATAATCAAATATATTTTACCATTACTTTAGGGAATTTGATCCGTCAGTAAGTACATGATTTTAGCTTTGCCATATAAATGTGTTAATATGAACCCACGATTTAATCTGACTTTCCTCCTCGCAGTGAAGCCGGCCATTGAGTCAGTTAATACAGGTCCCAGATCTCGTTACATGGTGATCTGGTAGCTATTTGCATTATTTAAGACGCTTGTCAGGGTCCAGGCTTAGCCGAAGGAGCCTGTTCCAAGATGAACATTCCGGTTTGTTGATTTCTAATCCATTGTTTCTGTCTTAGCCTCTTTGCCTGGCGTCTCATTAATCCACATTAACCAGCTTTACAGCATCAGACCTCACAGAGCTCTCGCATGTAAGGTGTTTACAGCGTCAGGTCAGTGTCCTAGTTCCTAAGTCCACAGTTATTAGGCCGTAAATTGAACCAAAACGAATACAGCTGCATCTTCAGCCTTCAACTTAGTTTATTACAAGCTGGAGAGAACTGACGTTGCCACAAACTGTTCCCTCCACCCTGCTGCTCGCTACGAGCCAACATGTAAATGTGCGTCTGAGACAATCGCTGTCATTTTAATCCACAGGAGCAATCGGGAGGAACCACGATCTGTATGTTTTGATAAAGATCAGAGTAGCTCTCTCATTGTGATTGTTAATTATATTCTAGATTGATTTTTTATCAATGCGTCACAAAATCTTTCTGCGTTTAACCCCGAAAAAGACCGGCTCTAAAACATGATGAGGGGTTTACTGTGTTCTGAAGTAACTGATGTCAGTGTATGTAAAATAGAAACATGTATTTGTTAGGAACGGCAGACATGAACGTGGCGGCCACAAAACCATTTATTGTCGATCCAAAACAATGTTAAGAGAACAACTTGATCCCCTTTTTCTTTCTTTGTATCGCATTGGGTGAAGGTGACACATTGTGTTTACAATGCTTTGCAAAAAACAAATGATTGTGTGTAATGCTTCTGATAACAGCCACCCCCCTGCAGTGTTTAGTAATTAAACAGGAACTAGGTTGGTGTCAAATAGGGGAGTGTTGAAAATGAATGCCAGTTGAACCTCAGCTGTCCTGGTAGCTGCTGTGATGCAACGCGTGTAAAACTCACTGAGCTCTTGGTGTCTAGCCGAAGTCAGTCATCTTTTAAAATGCAGACGGCACGTTTAACAATGTAGTATTTCATTCCCTTTCCCATTGTTTTCAGCATTGTATTGACCCGGATATCACTCTTATCGCGTCATCACGATACGTAGCCCATTACTATTATCGTTATTGTGATTTTGAGCTACTGATCTCCACCTTGGTTGTGTCCACAAGATGGCAGCCCACAACTAATGCCTCCTACTGTGTCTTGGATCCTGAGTCCTCTTTTCTTAATAGAGGTCTCTCTCTCTCCTGACGGCGTTTGGGGGGAAGCTTTTAAAGAATAACCGGGTTCCTTTCACCCTGTTTGTCACAGGAAAGCACAATGACTGAAGAGTCCCATAGAAGCTCAGCCGCTGAGATCCCAGTCACCAGCAATGGAGACCTGGATCAGAGCCCTGAGGCCACATTCCAGAGGGTAAGCGCTTGGTTTTGACGTCAGCGTCGCCCCAAACTGTTGAGCTGTCAGTGTGAGTTCACTGGCTTCCCAAAGTAACCTTCAGGGTTCTTCTTTTGGAAGATTCTGTTTGTAACAACAATGTAACCCTTTTTTTTTGGATGTCTTTCAATTTTACTAGCGAAGTTGAAAAGTCTGCTAGTGCCTGAAAATGAACAGTGCAAACGGAAAAGAAATTCCACAAAACGCTTCAGATCTTAATAATGCTTCTGCGAAGCAGAGACATTCTCAGACACTCGAGGTCCGATCCTTCTGCAGTGGAGTCCTTTAGTTAGTCTTATTCCCGATCATTTGACTGAGCGGGCAGTGCTTCCAGATGTGCAACCACACTGACCGTCTGCGGCAGGGAACACTGCTTTGTGTTTGCAACGAGTCAACTTCAGTCATCAGTGACTCAAATGTTTTTTTACACAATCTAACCTTTTCCCAAAGTGATAAATTAATAATTATGTTTGAGGGGAGAGTCATCAGTTATTCAAAGAGATGCAGATCACTGAGAACAGGTGTTTGGAGACCATGTTTATTCATTTTTCAGACTTCAGATTATTGAGAAGCAAATCTATTGTACTTGTCTGTACATTTTTACATTTTTGGCGTTCCTTGTCCACTAAGCCTGTTAAACAAAGTTTATATTGATTAGTTTTTTTCTGCTTTTTTTCACAGGACTCTTACCCCAGTGGCCCTAGGGCCCTAAATCTGTCAGACACCTGTGTCACCTCCAGCAACTTTGCCTCCACAACAGAAGGCATCATTGAGTCTGGACCATACAAAGGTACAACGGCTCTCCAATCTGTTCCCCAGCTCACCCGATTGCTTTGCAGCGTTCTGTGTTGACGGACGATCGTCCTCTGCGTGTATTCACAGCGCTCCACTTTTGGGTTTTAATCTGAATTTGTACATCCAATTGAATTTAATGAGTTTCCTCTGATCTCCATGTTGTAACCCTTCTCTCCTTTTCATCATCAAGCCCTTGTTGCAAATGCAAATACGAGTCTCCGCATAGAGCGGGGATCTGCTGCAGCCGGTCCACCGCCATGTTGCCATGGCTATTTTCCATGTTACACACACTGGTTGGGCTTTTGTTCATAAACCCATTCATGATGCGACGTAGGAGAGAGCCACCGCGACGAGATAAACACACACACACACACACACAGAGGAAATCTGCATCAATGAGAAGTTTCCCCCCCGTGCGCTTCTGTAGGCTGGATGGTGACGTACTAATGAATGAATCCTAACTGTGAATATCTCCCAGGGTCAGCAAGCCTGCCCACGTCTCCCGTGACACCTGTAGCTCCCAGCTCGGCTGTCGCTAGCCGCCTGGCGCGCTCTTGCAGCGATAGTCAGGCCGAGAAAGGTACCGGAAGCGAAGGAGTGTGAATCCGATGATGCTGAATCGTCACCATCTGCACACTGAATTAACCGCAGACCTCTCGTACCTTTTTTTCCCATCAGTTTCTCACCTGCTGCTTGTCCTCGCCGGCTGCGCTCCATTCAGAATCAACCCCCTCCCCTTCTTCTCCCTCCTAGTTTATGGGCTTTATCAGTCTGGGCTAACTGAAGTAGTCTTCGGCTTCGCAGTGGCTAATAAAATGTCTTTTACACACCCTAAAGTAATCTTTCCGAGGATCTACATCGCAGGATTTCTAGGTCTAATGAAACCGCTTTGCTGGGAACAAACTGCTTTCACACTTAATCGCTGTGGATTTTCCTGCTTGTAACCTTTGTCCTCGCTAAGGTTTGTGCCCAAATTCTCTCCCTAGTCTCTCTGTATGGAGTCCTTAAACTGAGCAATATTGTAAACGGTTGTCGGACTAGTAAAATGTATAATCGAATACATGAATAAATCAAGTGTATATTTTATACTCAGCCTTTTTAAACCAATTCCCTCAGTGGGTTGATTTAAAAAAATAATAAAAAAATACAGGTAGCTAAACACAACTAGCCAGTCAGAGCTACCTCCACGCATGCTGTAAACACAAAAGGCTCTAAACATGAGAAGAAAAACCATTAAAATAAACTGCTGTGGAGCCTGCTTGTTTTGTCCCTTCTGAGTTGCTGTAGAAACATGACGCACTCTGCAAAGAGGAGCAGCGCTGTGTGCAGAAATGAAGGACTCGTTCTAAAGGGGAAAAAACAATTCTTGGGTGCAGACGTTTCTGCACTAAGGAAAACAGTGATTAATATTCTATTCCATTTCTGGTAATAGACCCCCGTGATGCTCCACGCTGGCCCTTTAACTGATAACATTAGTATGATGTATTCAGCTATATGTTTTTACTCATCAGATATCCTATTCACTATATTTTGTCAGTTTCTGCTGTCAATACCTTCCATTTCCCTTCTATACCCAAACCAATCAAGCACTTTTCATCACTATCACTGACAGTTTTTTTTAAATGGTAAGTCACGACTAATTTTGTTTTAATGTTCATTGTGACTTCAATAACCGTAGATGTCTTCTAATGCTAAAGTGTCCGTGTTAACGTGACAATCTCCTCACTCACTGTCGATTGGAACACTTTGAATTGTCCCGCGCTTCATTCTCACCGCAGCTCCTTCAACCTGCCGACCCAATAACCCAATCACCCACTAAGTCAATGACTTTTAATTGTCCAGGCGCCACGAATGCACCGGCAAACAGTGGAGCGGTGGTCCTTTCAGATGACTTGAAGAGCCCAGCCATGGAGAAACTGGACCTAGTGAGGAAGTGGAGCATCAACACATATAAAGTAATCCTCTCTCTTCTTTGTTTTTATGTCCCTCCACACGCAGCTTCTTCTCGGATCTTTAGCCTCCACATTTATCCACGCTCAGTTCATTAGGGCAGAAAATGAACTAAGCCCCCAACTGAAAAATGTAGATAGTTGGTGTCCTTTCTTTCTTTGGACTCCCACCGGTCGTTTTTAATGTTTTTAAAACTGCTCTCGTCTCCTGCAGTGCACCAGGCAGATCCTGTCGGAGAAGCTGGGTCGGGGCTCGAGGACCGTGGACGTGGAGCTGGAGGCTCAAATCGAAGTCCTGCGCGACAACAAGAGAAAGTACCAGCATGTCATCAAGCTGGCTCAGACTCTGTCCGGTCAGCTGTCCCAGATTATGCTGACGCAGAAGCAGCTGGGCGACGCCTTCGCCGACCTCAGCCTCAAGTCACCGCAGCTGCATGTGAGTCCGAACATTTAGATTCCCTGTGATTGTTCGGATTGGGTCGGAGGGACGGGAAGGGCGTGATCGGCCTCACTTAGTGTCCCGACAAAGAGTCGTAAATAATGCAGAATGTGTATTGACTCGCGGGTTATCTAATCAGATTTATTAGAATACTGTTCAATGTTTATTATAAGTATCATAAGTTAATGGCTTAAAGGGCAGTAAAGCGTTTTGTATAATTCAAGGTGAGACCTCTAATTAGGTCAGATAAACCATATAACTACATTATTCAAATAACGAGCACATTCTTTTTCATATTTGAGTGAGTGCATTATATACGGATAATTACTCATCATAGAAGTATAAGAATTTATTTTGTATATTTCACATTGGTGCTATTTTTGTAATTTCGTGCGTCACATTTATTAACATAATTATTTATTATTTCGGTGCTCAAAGGTCACTGTAATCTTTTTAAAATAAACAAACCCTATTTTTGACCATAACTCTTAACAATTACAATGATAGTTGTAACAATTTCACAAAAATGACATAGTATAAAGTAATGAAGTGATGACATTTTTTGAAAAGTACGGATGCATTTAGGTGAACAACCAAGAATTTAGCTCACCCTGGATTCAATGTTTGTATTGTATTCATCAAATGTTAACCAAATGTTGTGTTTTCTCACACACACACACACACACACACACACACAGTTGTGATTATCACCGGCACTTCTGTGTATATACAGAATATACTCGGAGGATGTATAGTATCATGTTTGCACATGCAGATAAAAGCAAATAGCATCGTTCCCCAAAACCTGTTTGACTCTGTTCTTCAGGAGGAGTTTGGTTACAACGCTGAGACCCAAAAGCTTTTGTCCAAAAACGGAGAGACACTGCTGAGCGCCATCAACTTTTTCATCTCCAGTGTGAACACACTCGTGGACAAAACCATTGAAGACACCTTGATTAATGTCAAACAGTATGAATTTGCCAGGTATGTAATGATTGTGTGTGGGCGCCATCTCAAAGCCACAAAATGATAAAGCATTCGGAGACTCCGAACTCCCGAGTGCAAATGTACACACGCTACTACCGGCCTCCATTTGTATGAATGCATAATAACGCCTTGCCGATTAGTGATGTTCTGTCTAAAATACCACACGCCCAGGGTTGAGTACGACGCGTACCGCACCGACCTGGAGGAGTTGAACCTGGGGCCGCGCGATGCCGCCACCATGCCCAAGATCGAGCTCTCCCAGCAGCAGTTCCAGATCCACCGCGCCAAGTACGAGAGGATGCGGAACGACGTCTCCGTCAAGCTGAAGTTCCTGGAGGAGAACAAGGTCGGCCGCGGCGGCGTCCTGCGACGGCTGTACGTTCCGCGTGCGGGCGCCGTCTCTTCATCTCCCCCTTTTCTCTGTCCCCAAACAGGTGAAGGTATTGCACAAGCAGCTGATCCTGTTCCACAACGCCATCGCCGCGTACTACGCCGGAAACCAGCAGCAGCTGGAACAAACACTCAAAGAGTTCCACATCAAGTTGAAAATGCCAGGCGGGGACACTCCATCTTGGCTGGAAGAGCACTAATCGCTCCGTTTGAGGCAACGCCGTCAGTTTGACAGGGAAATTCTACAGGACCAACCCCGCCCCCCCCGTCACTGCCTTTCAAACTTTCACTGTTGTTAATCTTCAGCTCAATACGCAAAATGAAAGAAGAAACCCTTTTACTCTTGTTGTTGAATCATCGTTTTCATCTTTCATTGATTTGAAATCCTAGGAAATGCACTTTTAAACTGTTTGATGAACCTGTCTGTCAGGAGAGACTGTAAAAGGCCTTTTGCAATCCAGCACATGAATGTCGTGTCTCAGCTCAGTAAGGAGAAAGTGCGGGATCCAAACGACTGCCAGTTAAACATAATTTACAGTACTTTTGCAGTAGGCTTCAGGAGACTCCGACCAGGAACGGGACGAGGAGGCATTCAGATGCAAAACGGCCTGCAAACGTAGTTTAACATTTTGGAAAATGTGCTTTTTTGCTTTCTCGCTGAGAGTTTAATACAAGACTACAGTCAGCAGCCGGTTAGCTTAGCTTAGCATAAAGACAGAAAAGGATTAGCTGTCAGTGCGACCTGGGTCTCTCTGAACGTGAAAGAAATTCAGCCTCCCGGCACATCTTAACCTCGCTAATACAAACAACCAAAGGGTAAGGAACCGAAGTTAAGACGTAGTTTCACATGCGCTTATGTGCACTAGGAGAAGACCAGGCTAACCGTTTCCCTTTGATTCCAGTCGTTATGCTAAGCTAAGATAAACACTTATCTTTAAATTAAACGTATGCATGGAAACGTTTCTTCTTCTCGTCAAACTCTCCACCTAAAAACGGATGTGAGTATTTGCTGAGGTGTAAAACTATTTATTGTAAATGTTTATATCAAATTGAAGTCTGTGACAACACGTCCTTCAAGTTGCGATATGATAATGCAGACAGGATGCTGATTTTAATCCGTATTGTTCTTTGTTTGGCATTTGACTGAAAGTGTTTTCATTCTATTCAATTCCAGAGAAAACAAAGGACCAGCCTTATGTGACTAAACGTGCCTTGAATTCGCTCTACTCTTCAATATTTGTTCGTTTTAAAGAAAAGGCGCTTTCACTACGAGTTTGCAGGAACAGTTCTCAGCGGGAGAGAGTGGACCAAACACACACACACACACACACACACACACACCGTGTACAACTGTACATGTTTAAACACTCAACACAACACACATATGAAAGGTGTGGTAACAAACACTCCAGAGAGTCACAAAAGGTTTTCGAGACAATGTTCTCAAAGATATTTATCGTTGCACATTTATGCATTTGAGACTGATTAAAAAAAATATGTGAGGTGAAAACCAAAATACGATTAATGTTTTGTAAACTTGAATTTGCTAAGTTTGTTTCATTGGGTGACCTAAACGTATATTTTTCAAAGCGGACATACTCTGTGCTGTTATCGATAACCAGCTGGTGATTTGTACTTTTCTTATGAATCACCATAGCAGTTTGAGAGTGTGAATCTTGTACAACAATCTATTGTGTCCCTGAAATAGATGGATATATATATATATTTGTAATTCTCTCTATTTTACCTTGTAGTTTACCACCAATGCTGCCACTTGGCTTTTGCTTTTGTCTCTTTCCCTACAGAATGATGTACTAGTATGTGCTGGTTGCTCTTCACCTTCTTTTTAATCACTAAACATTGACAAAAGACCAGAGAAGGATCCTCAATGTTGTGTAAACTCTTTGAGAAGATTAAAGTTTCTTTTCTTTATCATCCAGTGTTGCTTTGTAGCAGCGGCTCGTATAAGGATCCCCAAACGGGTACCGACAAAGCGGAAAGATGCCGGCATTATGCCTGTGATTCGCCCCGCTACGTTCTGCATTGATGTCCCCAGTTAAACTCTTTCTGCATCCGTCCTGGTTTTTGTTCAGTGGTGGTTTAAAGGCCGTTGATATGTGGATTCAAATGACTTGTGTTTACTTAAGTCCAGGTGCTTTTAGGTTTTTCACCACCACGTCCCTGCCACACCCTCAATGTAAGCTCTGCAGGATGCGGTTAATCCTCAGGGAAGCCGCGAGGAGGTCGGTCACAGGCGAGGTGATGTGTTAATGTGTCAATCAAGTCAAAAGACGTCGCTGAGCAAATAGATTTCAAACTGCAAGTTGGAAATCATTTCTAAAGCATTTCTAATAATTTAATTTCAATAATCGTTAGAGGTTAAATTATAGTATTTAGGCAGCAATCATATTTCCTTTTCTACTTCAGCAGCAGCAATTCAGATTGTTTAGTTAAAAGTAAAATGTTATCAAGTATCCAATATTCTGCAGTTTAATCTCCCAAGTTTGGATGAATCCTCAATGTTAAAAAGAGAAGGAAGGACAAACTATGATGGACAATATGACAATAGAGGCCATAAAGGAAATACTAAATGGTCCAAATCTGATCCTTTCATAAAATGCATGATGAAGCTGAAACAAGGCTGTTTTTGGATAAGTGGGATAAGAGGACAATACGTCTCTCAGACAAGTAGGCCTATTGTACTAAAAGTTTGATTCAAATCTAAGCAAAATGATTATTATCCAAAGCCTTTATTGTGTTCAGGACCAATGGCAGATACATTTAGTCTAAATTTAAATTGTGCACTTTAGTGAAAGTGAAAAGTGGGCATCAACCCCATTCAGAGGGGTAACTACTTTATACACACACACACACATATATGCAGATTTTACAGATGCAATGACATGAATGCACTGTAACAATTAATCCAGATGGAGCAGATCTAAACTACTGTCACATAAATGCAATGGAGTAAAAAGTAAAATATCTCCCTCTAAAACGAGATTACGTGTCATTTAGCTGACTTCCAACACGTGCATTTCAACCATAAACTCAGAACAAGAAAGTGCAATTTCGTGAGACGAGTTGGGTTCGTTAAATGTGTAGAGCTGTAAAGTCGTATAAAATGTACCAACACGTTTGACTTAATAACCAGCATGTGAGTAAAAGCGGCTCTCAAACGGTCGCACAGTGAACGCACCTGATATCACCGGCCGCTCGCGCCAGTGGTCACATGCCGCGCTTTGTGCTCGCGCAGGAGGGAGGGGGGGGACACGTGAGCGCGCTTGTTCCACCTGGCCCTACCACGGACGACGGAAGCTCACAACACCGCCGTGTGCCGCCGCTGCAAGGACGGAGAGCGGACGGAGCCCGCTCCCCGGAACGCACCAAGGATTTTACCCCGCGGAAAGTGTTTCCCCCCCCCCCGCCTCCCGGGGGAGCACCTCCATCTCCTCCGGTGAGTCGTGCGGGGAGGTTACCGCCGCGTCACGCTGCCTGTGCGCGTGAAGATGGGAGATATGTAACGACCTGCTGCTGACCGTCTGTCCGCTCTGAAGGGGACAGCGGGGGGGCTGGGGGGGGGGTCCTGCAATGCAGTCCAGCTCCACAATTACATCATAACGAAGATTTAGTGCGGTCAGGGTCCTGAATCGGTTGCTCTACTGCACCTGATAAATATTCACACCGAGACGCCATTCAACAATTGTGTCGTTCCATCAATTTGATTCTGCCGATCAAATCAAAAGGTGCAGAGTGTTAAATCAATAAATTAAGTCGCTAAAAGTGTGATTCAAGCACAGAAACGTAGAACGGATATATGGAGTAATGAGATTGTTTTTAGGGAGTTTTCATGTTTTAATTGTGTTGCATTGTCACATGTTTTGCTAATTGTAATCTGGTAGTTTTTTTTTAAATTGGATTAACAGTTTCCATTTGTCACTTTTAAGTTAAGATTCTCTTTTTGCCGACGACTGAAGCTTCTATGTTTGGAATGCAATATTCCTGATACAAAAAATAGCCACAGTCATGGGAGAACTTTTCCTAAATAAAACGGCTTTAGATTGAACTTCAATAACTATAATTCTGATTATAGTCACTTCCTTTTCATGGTGCCTCAGATGAATTTGTCTCGCTGCCTCTAAAGGTCGAACGCGGTTCTGTTTGCTTGTTGCCATTATTGTCCCACGTTGAAGAAGCAGTGTTTGGGGTATGTATGGGGGTGGTTGACATGGATTCACCAACAGAACTTACGGCCCTTTTTAGTTCGGCCTGTGTGGCGTTTATGACTCTGCACCTCCCCCCGGCTTCCTTGGGGGCCTTTTGTACACTACTATACACGCTGAGATGAATTAGAGCGCAAGAGCCATTCAAGTGTGGGGGACAATACCCCTGTTTCTCCCCAGGTCAGGTCAAGGAAGAGGGCGGTGTCACCCGCCCCCCCCCTCCCGGTTGCTGTGGAAGCCGAGAGCAACACAGAAAACTCAATTCTCTGACGTCATCCCCGGGGGAGGACGATACTTGGGGGGGGGCTTGATATATTTCTGAGAGGGAGAGAGAGGCCGGATAGTTGTCGCCGACTTGGTGTCGACCCAAGTGGTCTTTAGTTTCCCCAAAGTCTTTATGAATGCACTTTTAGTCCTTCATAGAAAACCGTGAAAAGAGGAAACCGATCCAAGTGTTCTTTGGCCTCTTAAGTCCCACCCAGAACTTTCACCTGTTGCCCCCCCCCCCCCCCCAGATGTGTCCGCTACACAATGACACAACCTGACACATCTTATATTAATGACGAACAATATTCCAATACTCCCCATCTTGTCAGATGATAGTTTTGGGGATTCATGATTGTGGCTCCTTTTGCTTTTCCAGGGTCTTTAACGTGACTCGTGTGCCTGTAAGGAGTATTTTTGGTATCAGGGTATCAAACGGTGTCCTAATGAAGCCCTCCGGGCAAACACCGACATGTAAACATGTTTGCATTTCCTCCATGTTCCCCCCGCTGCCGTCTCCACGGTGACCTTGAACACCTGCTTCGTCCGTTACCCTCGCGTACCGATAGTAAATAACCTCGCTGCGGATCGGTCGGTTTAAGCACGAATCCGGGCTCTGAATGCTGCAGCAACGACCGGAGGGCCGAGCCGGCGAGGTGACGGCGGCATGGCGGCGAGCTGCGGTGCCGGACACCGAGCGCCTCTCGACTGAGCAACAAACTGTTTTTGTAGATGGTGTCGCATCTCTTCCCCCCTTCTTGTCATTTCTCCCCCCGAGCGGGTTTGGTTTCACCTGGTTGTCTTTTCCTCTTTGTGAGTAAAGCCTTTTACAATTTCTATATTCTTTTTTTTTTATCATATGTAGCTTTTAATATCCAGGCTGTTGAAGTTTGACCTAAAGAAGATTCAGTTGTTTTCCTTCACTCTGTGAGTGCGAGCAGCAGATGTTTGAATCACATCGTCGTCCCTTTATCGTTTCAGCTGGATTGGAAATGCTCTCCTAAGTACGTTTCAGGCCGTTATCATCAGCTGTTTACCAAACAAACAGATGTTTAAGAGGAAAAGTACAGATTCCTCCTTTGTTTGAGTCCGATTTAGGAAGGTTTAACTGTTGGTTGTATGATTAGATGAATTCCCTCCTCAGTTACAGGTTGGCAGGCTGCAACCGGTGTTACAGGTGAGGTGCTCCTTCATATTAGTCTTAGCCGAAGCCTTTTTAAACAGTCATTGACGGAGCAGCGCCGCGTGTTCTGCAAACTGGCAGCTTTAATCTTCCAAATCTGAGGCCCTCGTTTCAGACTCGGGCTGTTATTACCAGATTCACGCTAAGCTTGGGGGATATGTTGTGTTTGGGGCAACTGCATCTGCACACGCTCCGTCTCTGGCTCTGCAGGTGTTACTGTTACAATAGGCCGCTCCACCAGATTGTTATTCATCACATGGTCTAATGCCGAGCTGATGCAAAATGCATCTTTTGACTCCAATGAAGGACCTGATGTTGTGCTTTATCACTTGAATGAAAGCTATTTAACCTGACTATTGCTTTGAGATCCACAACGAGCTACTCTGTTAAACACTACAAGCGGCAAACTAAAATGTAATTTTAATGCATGCGAGCTTCACACACCATCCGTAATTGGACATTTTCTGTAATCCGGAGCGTGACCAAGGCCCATAAAGAGAAGCTCAGTCAGTCGATGATCGACAATGACATCCTCATTTGACATGATCATTAATCAGAAAGAGCTCCAAATAGCCTGCTAAGTGCTCGTACTTCTCAGACTGCACCACGTGACCCAGAAACCCACATCGCTGCCACGAGAACGCGCGACTAACGCGACGCGATTCACTGTTGTCCAACTGGCCTTAACATGATGAGCATCTTATTGTGATCCTTTGGAATTATTTGCTGGATTATGAAATAAAAAAGGCAGCCCCGTCACCTCCAGCTCGGCGCTTTCCTCTCACACCTTGATGCAGGAAGGACAGAGATTGAGGACAGAGATTGCGACCTGTTGTTTGTTGAATTGAGTGTCGTGAGACCCGGCTGAGGACAGTTTTTTTTTTTTTATTATTTAAGGCAAATTCAATTGCACGGAGCATCAAGCAGGACCTTTTTGTGCCCACTTCAACGCAATGCAGTTTGCAGGAGACGGGTCACTTTATTAGAAACACAGAGGTCATCCGAGATGCACAGAATCCATCCTCTTCCACACAGGCAGGTTCGGTAAGTTGTGCACCTTGGCCTCCTCGCTGCAGACGCATAACACGGCGTAATAATCCCCTCAGCACCAGTTTTGCAGATTTGAGTGTGAAGAAACGGCCTCGTTAATCCTCCACGTAGAGCTCGCCGGCTGGCAGTTTCGCGGCCCGACTCCTCCTGCTACTTCGTTTTAGGGTTACTAGAGCAGTTTTAATCAGAGTTCCCTCTTTGGTACTAAATACTGACTTCCTGCTTTTTTCATGGATTAAATTAGGGACGGTTCAGGAAACAAAGGGCCCGGGAGGAGCAGCGTTTGGGACTCTTACCAGCGTTTTGAACAAAAGTCGAAAGCTAAGCGGGCTGGTTTCAAAGAGGAAATGAAGGAGACTCCCATGATGAGGATTATCTCATCTGACAGCTCGTAGAGCAAGAACTGACATGCTCATTGATGTATTTGCCCAAATGGTTCAACGCTTGATTGCTTTGTGTCTCGAACTCTAACTAGAACTTTTTAAAGGTGAATCTGAGCTAATTTAGTCCTTCAAAGGGGATGAAATGGAACAAAAACAGAAAAGAGCTATTTTTCTAATCACAGGTCTTAGAAATTGTTCCTCTTCTGTTGGTGTCAGTGATGTAGAGTTATGAGATGCCTTGTAATGTGTTTTTAGATGAATTTATGACGTCTAATTCTTATGAATTTAATTTTTGTGTTGCTTCCTTCATCGTGAATGTTCCACTGAGTGCACACAGGTGTCCACAGGCGCACACCTGAGCGGAGCTCGGCCGGGTTAGAAGCGAGGTTACTTTAGTCATGCGGACATGAATCATTTAAAGGTTCTTGTTTTGCCGGGCTTCACTCAGAAAGTACAGTCACAGAGGTACCAAGCGCTCAGGCTCTCAAAGTATTTGATAAACCCAGGATTTGCTGAATAATGGGCTCCTTGTTGGTTCCCGATTAGACGGATTTCTCTGCTGCTGCTGCGGGTTTTGTTCTGGGGATCGGGGGGGGCACGAGGTAATAACTGACCCGCAGGTCACCGGATCGTTTTGTATTTATTTAGCGGGTTGCTTAAGCACAATTTGTCCATTTTTATTCATGAGAACAGAGCAGATTTATACGGCTCCGTCACGCGTGTCACGTGCTGCACCAGAGCGCCGACCTGCCGGTCCCTCTGTTGCCGAGGAGCTGGCGCACTGCAACCATCTGTCACTCGCCCTAAAAGGTGTCCTCCTCCTCTGGGTGGGAGAGGAGCCTTTGTTGGCCGAGCCGGGCCTTTTTGTCTTTTGGTTATCTGGCCGGCGTGTGCGAGTGTGCCTTTTGGTTTTCGGGGGAAACCCTCCTTTTGTGTGTCCTTTCCACGGCAAACAAGACGTGGGAAGTTAACGGTGCCTCACTCCCCCGTCTTAAATGACTGTGTTTTACAGTATATTTTCATTTTTGGACTGAACATCTTTTGAGTTGTGGGCAACTTGAGGGATAAATCGAGAGTGGAAGATGTGGACGTGCCGGGGTTTTTTTTCATCCAGGAAGTTGCCTGGAAACAAGTTTCGCTGCTGAGTGTCACATAAACACACAATGCAAGTGTGTATCCGTGTGTAGTTACCAATAAGTTTACTTCCGTCCAATAAGTGATGTTTATCTGACAGTAGAGACACAAACAGTTGACTGAAAAAAAACCCTAAACAATCAAATCCTCAACTGGAAGGCTGAATCAGAAGGAGTGCTGTTGATTTCCTGCTAAGCTTAATTAGTCTGTCAATCAAAAAGAAAATAAATCAACAATTTGTAGTTGCAGTTTTATAAAAGAAAATGTAAAAACCCGCCCCCGACCCCTCGACCCCCCTTCCTGCGTTTGGACAAGTAGAGATCAAAAACAAACAGGCCTGACAGCGACGTCCCGCTGAGCGCCTCTCCGCTAACGAGCGTTCCCGAGGTAACGATGATGCAGCGCGACTGGGCAAATTCCCACTGAGCGCACCTCTCTGCCCCGCCGGTGACAGTGAATCGGGGGGGAGGGGGGGGTGGTGGCCCCCTGACCCCCGGAGGAAACCGAACTGGAAGTCGGCAACGGGGGATTATTATAGAAGCCGGTGGCGCCTTGACCTTCAGCATCCAGAATTTGCGAGCGAGGGCGGATTATATTTGTTTTCGGCGAGGCGGCTCCCCTGCAGGCATCGTTGGCGGTTACCTCCGATTAAAACCCCATTTCAGTTTTCCCAAATGGGATTTTTCTTTTAATAGAACAAGGAAAGGAAAGTGACCCGGCCTCTGTATGTCACTCTGTGTTTATTATGAAAGCAAAGACCGCTGACGAAAGTACGCGAGGCCACGTGAAGAGCTCCTAAAAGACGTTTGCTCTCCAGGTGCTTAGAAGAAGTCTCCTCGTTTTGAACTGGCTCGTCCCGTCGCTCTCAGTGAGGCCGGCCGCCAGAACGCGCTGCCCTTTGGTCCTCGATCCCGCCGCCACTCGTTTTTTTCTTTGATCTGCCGACCTGCGTTTGTGTTACCTGAGACCTAACGGACAGTGGGACACCTTCGTCTCGTGAAGGCCTCGGGGGTCAACGGCGGGTGGACAATACGCGTCCATTCATGCAGGTGGACGGGGGGGCGGGACTGCTCCTCGGGGCTCCCGGGGCTCCATTTTTGAGTTAATTGTCAACTAGATATTTTATTTTCACCCTGTTTGTAATTAAAATCATCTAAGATAACTTCCCGCCAGCTTAAGCTCTGCTAACAAGCTCATTTATCAGCGTTTGAGACTCTTTGTTCTTTTAGTTCTGTTACATGTGGCCGCGTTGTTGACACCACAGAAGAAGATGTTTCTCAGCGTGCGGTCAGATGTTCTCGCAGTCTGCTGAATTAGTGATGGGCGACGGTTCGGTCCCGCTGAGTGTGCAGGCCGATGTCGGCAACGTGAGGCCGTTGGTGACGTCGGCTTTAATTCATTATACATAATCCCTGCGTATCGGGTGCAACGGGCCGCTGGCGAATCAGCGGTTCCTGCAAAGATATTTTAATTTTGTAAGGTGCAGAGTTGACTCTGGAAGCCAGAAAGTGGCCACGCATGCGGGGGTTTGTAGGCCTAACAATTTTGATCTGGATCTAAACTGTAGCCAAGTCAACAGAGAAATGTCATCCTTGAATAGCGTGTAGTTCACAGATTAATTGATCCTTTTTTAGTGGCTCGTGTGCGATGTGCTATTTCAATCTGACCTCGCAGAACAACCTTAACAAATTCTACCGATTTCGTCTCCTTTCTGGCGCACCGTGTTGTTTGTTATTGCCGTTGCTACGGAGACAGGCTTTTATGGCAACAGATGGTGAGGATTGAATACATAAGAGACGGCTGGTTGTTTTCCATGAAACTAAAGTCAGTCGTATATGCTGATAGGATCAGTTTCTCTGGTTTAAATACGAATATCTCGCTATCTTTTTAATAATTATTGTATTTTGCCTGATTACACTTATACTGCCTCTGCCAGAAATAAATGAATGAAATAAATGAACTAACACTGGAGCTGGGAATAGACACACAAACAGACCTTTTATAAATCGCTTTCTACATTTTTTTTTTTTATTTGACAAATTTACTGATGATGCAATTGCGTCACAGTTTGCGCTACGTACCATTTTTAAATGAGACTTTTTGTTCTAACCTGCAATGCTTCTGTGTCTCTTTTACAGTCCGCCACATGAGAACTCCATCTGAATGAAAAATGATACCAAACTGTGTAAGAGAAGCTGATTCGTGGGTCTAATGTCTCTTGACCATCACACACCACAGCAGCCTCACTTCAAAGCCCTTCATAAACAGGGGGAAATGGGATTAGCCGTTTCCGTTATTGTGAGCCCCTTTGAGCGGGTACCCCTTCTCGTTTGATCCGTCGCACCGCTCAATGTCCCCCTCAGATTGTCCACGGCAACATGCATGACTACCTCTCCATAATCCTGTCCTTTTTTTTTTCGTAGCTCCATGGCCGCCGCCGCCGCCACCGCTGCCCGCCCGCTCCCCCCGGGGGGCGTCCTTCAAAGGCTCTGCTGCGCCCGCTGGACGACCGGCTGAATGATGGAGGTGGACAGAATGAAAGGACGGGCTCCCTCCATTGTGACCAGATGAAGGGACATCTTCCTTCCTCCGGCAGTGAGGGGGACGTGCACTGCGGCATTTTGATGTTCTGCACGGCAGATTGAGGAAAAACTTTTGGAAATAATTCAAAATAAACAAAACGGGCAAACCGCTGTTGAGACGTATTCAGTTAGAGCTCATATGAGCTGACTGCTCGTCCCCGCCACGCTTGTTATGAGTTCTCCATCCGCGACCAGCGAGCCAGAGAGCGCCAGCGGCGAGGGAAGCGGCCCCACCGCCTCCACCACCACCACCACCACCTCTGACCCCGCCCCCCCTCACACCTGCGCCGCCCCGCCTCCCGTCGGCGATGCCCCTCGCACCTCCGGGCACCAAGCTCCCCCGCCTCCCCCCCTTCCGCCGCCGCCGCCGACCTCCGGCAACCACAACGCGCGGAAGAAGCGCCGCGTGCGCAGCTTCTTCTGGAAGCCGATACCGGAGGAGAAGGTGCGCGGGACGCCCAACATCTGGACGATGGCGGTGCGGCAGCAGCAGTATCAGATCGACGTGCGCTCCGTGGAGGAGCTGTTCGGGCAGCAGGAGGACGCTCGCGGGGGGCCGCCGGCCTCCGGGACCTCGGGACGCGTCTCCAGGTCTCGCTCCTTCAAGGAGAGCAGCAAGGATGAGGTGAGCCCGCCGACACCGGAGGCAGGAATTGATATTAGAGCCATTAGTTGTTTTATTACAGGTTTAGGTTTCATGTTACTTTCTTCCAATGTGAAAATAATCCAATCTCGTCGGTTTTCAGATCAGCATCCTTGACTCCAAGAGGGGGATGAATGTGGGAATTTTCCTGAAGCAGTTCAAGAAGTAAGTCTTCCGCCCGCTTCGCCACTGTAACCCTCAATGTTACTTTTGAATCTGCAGTTGCATCACCCGCTTAGGATGAACTAAAACTCTCCCTGAAGGACGTGAAAGCGGACTTCAATAGTTTGTTTTTAGAGCGGTCCATACGTCTGGACAGCAGCACATGGGACCGAACATCTGTGTTCCTGCAGTTACATCCAGATTATGAAAGCAAAGCCGTGATGATTGAGGAGGAAGCTGGGTGATGAATTTGTGTTCAATTTGGAAAATTGTCCTCCAAAAGTATTGACGAGAGAAAGTAGTGACCAGCCCTTAGTTTCTGTATGACACTGTTTTCTCATTTATCCAAAGGCAGCGATTATTTCCTTTTTGCCGTCGTACTTCATGTACCACCTTCCTGCTCGACATCTTCACTGATGTTATCTTGAATCTCTTCATCAAATAATCCAATCAAACAGAGAGAAGTTTGGATCTAAATCTTTTCAGTTACTCTAATCGTACTATTCTGATTCTCAATCTCTCCATTATTAATGAGGGATTGTTACTGTAAATCTCCAGATGTGTTTGACCAGAATCTGCGTCGTGTTTCTGTGGAGCAGAGAACAAAACGTGTGCTCCGTCTCGTTTTTGCATGACGGTGTATTTGCGTAGCTCGCCACTGTATTTTAATGACATTTGAATGTCAGCCATACTGCACCTCATCAGAATGTTCCTTGTGTGTTGTTTTCCAGCTCTGATCTGAATTCATCCTCTGTCCTACATGTGTATCTATCTTTATCCGTGTCACTTTTCTCAATATCATCCGGCAGTGTGTTGATTTAACCAGCAGTGTTTCCTTAAGCATCACCTCGCTTGAACACAAATATATTATTTCCTCAACAATCCTTGAGTTTAGGTTAAAATATGACAAACAGCACGCAGCTCTGATGTAGTTCACTGTTTATTAACCTTTGTTCTAATGGAAATAAATGTGTTGCAGGTCCAACTGCTCTATTGTGGAAGACATCCGACGGGGAGACGGAAAGGCTTATGGAGCGGAGCTGCTCAGAGACCTGCTGAAGCTCCTTCCCGACGCAGAGGAGGTCCGTGTTCCATCCAGGCCCCCTTTTCGGGGCTTTTAGGCAATCTCTTTTAAGTAGTGCGGCGTTTCTGTCAGTCAACAGATCCCAACCTGGCGGTAACAGCCTGTGAATGTGGGCAGAAAACAAAAGCGGGCTGCTGAGCTTCCTGTCTCTCTATTGTCCCCGCGACAGGTCAAGAAGCTGCAGGCGTTTAAAGGAGACCCGGACAAGCTGACGCTGGTGGATTCCTTTATGTTCCTCTTGATCCAGGTGCCTCGGTGAGTTCATTTCAATGCCGTGTGCATAGTGTACTTTCAGTCAAAGGGGGAGCCGACGAAAGCAGAGACGGGCCTCACAGGAGGGTTTGTGAGTGAGGATTTGCATTTTGTGGGAACGTTCCAAAGAACGTGTCCCTCATTCGTAGGTGTTCATACAAAAGACTTGTGTCTGATTGTGTGTGTCCATTTAGCTGGGGCTTACATTTAAACTGCAGTGCACCAGAATTAATAAAATCGTCGTAATCTCTTCCCAAAATGTTAAAATTACCTGTAAAGATTTACATCTGTTCCTTTCCAATTTGATTAATTCACGTTTTCCTGTCATTTTTCCTTTTTTTTCTTCTCTTTGAAACAACACCGGGTAATAACATATAAAATACTAGTAGTCACTAGTATTAAACAAGTAACGTTGTGACATACACGCGTATAGAACGTCGTAGCAGACAAACGGGTCAATCAGAGTCTCCTCAGATCTCAGATTGAACGAGTCTCCACTTCGCCTCCGGCAGGTTCGAGGTTCGGATCGAGGCCATCGTCCTGGGCGAAGAGTTCTTCCCTTCCTGTGCTGCGATGAGACGCGATATCGACGTTGTCCGCATCGCCACCAAAGGTAGCAACACACAGACACACACACATGCAGTCACATGTGCTGACACAGGTGACCCAGATATTTTGCATGTATAGGGTAAGACAAAGTTTTGGACCTATTGACCCGGCGATCCTAAATAAGAAAACCAACTTAGACGTATGTGTTCCGTTTCTATGAGTCATTCTTCCTACTTCTGTGTGGTGCTGCTAAAGGGAAGTAGTGCGTGATGCGATGATGATATCTGCTGTGCATTCTCTCTAAGTGAGTTTGTATTGATCTGCTCATATAGAGCTGATGAGCTGCGAGGAGCTTCATGCCATCCTGCATCTGGTGCTGCAGGCCGGAAACATCATGAATGCCGTGAGTCGTCCAATCGTTACGTGCACTTAATACATTGACATCATTATCCTATCTGTTGGATTCAGAGGATTAAGCTGCCATTCTTTTACAAATACTTTTATAAACTTTTATATTAAGGTGAAGTAATTTGTGCATTTGATGAGCTTAGCATAAAGACCAGGCTCTGTCTGCAGGGAAGAAATAATCGATTTTAAAGAAATGAACATGTTGTAGCCACCCTTCTTTCTTCATGCTACGCTCATTGGCATTGACAAATTACAATTTCTGATGGTCTTATTTCGCTCCTTAGAAGAAAGCAAATAAGCAAATATCTCAAAAAGTCAACTGATTCCTTCCTTATCCATCAACGTCTCCCTGTATCTCTGTGAGAAGTGTGACCGGTCGCTCTGTGCTCCTCAGGGCGGGTACGCGGGCAACGCCGTGGGCTTCAAGCTGTCGTCCCTCCTCTCGTTGGCCGACACCAAGGCCAACAAGCCGGGGATGAACCTGCTGCACTTTGTCGCCATGGTTAGTGGAGGCTTCAGCTTTGCAAAATGATGCACACAATACCTCCCAAGAGCTGCGCTGTCTTGTGTAACCGGACGCCATGCGACACAATGTCAACATGGAATATGTGTTAAAAGCTTAAGTGCTATTGGTTGTTGCGGGTTTACTCAGTGGGTCACTGCATCAAGTCAAACCTCTGCTCTGTTTACACATGTGAAGAAGTTCATGTACTAAATGCATAGTAGACATTGATTTCATCCTAATAATATTCATGTTATTCTATCCTATTCCGTCAGCAGTTATCTCACAGAAACAGAGAAGAGCCAAGAGAGGCTACACATAAACAAACACAATGCAATGATGCCCAAACCGTGCGTCCTCTCTCACTCTGTCTCCACGCAGGAGGCAAAGAAAAAAGACGAGAAGCTGCTCAGGTTTCCGGAGAAACTTCAGGACGTCCAGAGCGCCTCCAGGTGAACTTTAGACCAAGCGGGAGACGTGATCATTACGAAAAGAGACCTTGCGCGACGTGACTTCTATTTGAGCGTCTATCTTGAATGAGAAACACTGTAATATACAGCAGTGTATATTATCTAACAACACCAGTCACTCCAACATTTACTTAATTAATTCTATTCTCTGTAATTCTTTGAGAGTCAGTGTGACGCTGCTGTTGTCAGGCTCCTTCAGCTCCACAAGGTCGTCTCCATGTGGAGACCGTGCAGCTCCTGCACCGGATGAATCATCCCTCCTTCCCCGAGGAGATGGCCTTCAATGGAGCACGTTGTGGCAGCAAAGGCTGTCAAATAGTGTCGCGCTCAGCACCATTATTGCGACAATGTGATAATCGTCTCGGTGCACGTGTGACGATTTCCTGCAGAATCTCAGTGGAAAACATCGAGGCGGAGTTTTCCTCCCTGTATGTACGGATTAAAACCCTGGAGGAGAAGGTTCAAGGAGACCCGGAGCTTCCGCAGCAGCTGGAGGCCTTTCTGCAGGTGAGACGGCAGAAGGTCTTATGGAATATATATATATATATATATATATATATATATAATATACCGAAAGTTGGATCCAGGCTGCTGTACATTTCTGGCACCGCTGACTGCAGATGACGATCCCCATGAAAGTGCATTGATAAAAAATGCATGTGCCCGATGTCTCAGAGTTCAGCGCGGACGCTGCAGGACCTGAAGAGAAGCCGGCTGGATCTGCGCAAAGAGGGGAACGCTCTCATCGACTTCTTCTGTGAAGACAAGGATACCTTTAAGCTGGACGAGTGCTTCCGCATCTTTCAGGACTTCTGCATCAAGTTCAAGAAAGCTGTGAAGGTCAGTTTTTCGGGAGAGGATGATTCCGGGTTTAGCATTTTTGTATTTTTAGTTCTGTCACGAGGGAACACATGAATATTGTACAAAGAGGTCAACGGGTCCAAACGGCAGGAAATACAAATTTACACGTTTTAAAGTTGTAAGTGAGTTAAAGCTGGAAAAAAGTGCTTGAAATGTGTTCTCCGAATCCAATAAGCCGTATTTGTGTCGTTGTCTTCTTGCCCGCCTTCTCACCGCATTCTCTCGCGTCCTCAGGACAACGCGGACCGCGAGGCAAAGGAAGCGGCCCGGCAGCGACGTCTGCGAGAGTTGGAGGAGAAGCGATTCGCCTGGTCGGCAGCGGACCAGAGCGCCGGGTTCAGTCGGAGCAGCAGCGAGAGCGACGTGGAGATGCTCACCAAGGAGGGCCTGCTGGACTTCTTCCAGCAGAGGTCCCAGAGCCCTCACAGTCCGCTGGGGCGCTCGGCCAGCGCCCGCCGCCACCGCCACGCCGCGACCTCCGCGGCGGACCGACAGCTCCGGGGATACCTGGAGCTCTTCGGGGGCTCCGGGAATCCCACCGACCGTTCCAGGTTCAACAGCCTGCCTCGGCCGGGCCGCGGCGCGCAGCGGGCGACGACCCCCTGGGTGTTGGGACAGGACGACGACCGCGAGCTGGGCTGCGACGGCCAGGGGGCGTCTCCGCGCGCAGCATCTGAGCCCGTCGGCCCGCTGGCCAGGTTCTCCTCCTCCTCCTCCTTCTTCTCCTCCTCGCGCGGGCGGAATGACAACGAGCCGCACGGCAACAACAATTATTGCTCGTCCGTGTCGGAGGGCGGCGCTCCGCCTCGTCCCTTCTGCGTCTTTCAGAAGTCCCCCCGTCTCCCCGAGCCGGCGATCAGCGGCCACATGAACGTCAGCGTAGACACGCACACTTTAGTTCGAGGTCCTCAAGCTTTCGACCTACCGAGTCCAAACAACAACAGTGACCCGATGCACTTTGTCCACCGGGGCGATGTGGTTGTGACTGATTTGGAGAAGGAGCGACGGTCGCTTCCTGTAAACCTGGACATCCTTCTACATGATAACGTTGTGGAAAGGGGACCGGATCCCAAGGTGGCCTGGGGGGAGAAAATAGATCCTCCCACACGGGCCGGCGTCCCTCTTGAGAGAGAAGAAGACGACAACAGCACAGTTTCATCCACGACCTGCGACACGCCCCTCCCACTCGATCCAAGTGTGTCCAATAAGAAACCGATGGTTTATGCACTAGACTGCACAGAAACCGACTGCTCCGTCACCTCGGATTACTCCGAGGTAGACAGCGCGTCTCTGACGAAAGAGGGACGTCATTTAAGGACGGAGGACAGCCGGCGAGCTCCTGTCTCTCTGTCCTCCGACTTGGAGTCGCTGTCAACCAACGAGCTTTCGGCGGCCAAATCTGCGGACGCAGCATCCGTCACCCGGTCTGCTGGCGCGGAGGAGTGGGACACGGAGAGCTGCGACACGGCCGAGGGGAAACCAGGCGCGCAGAAAGGCAGCCGGAAGGCGGCGCCGACGAAGGGCCGAGCCAACAAGGCGCCCAAGAGCGGCGGAGGTCGCGCCGTGCGAACGCTGACCAGCAGCGAGGGCCAGGGCATGAGGAAGGTGGTGCCCATCGGCAGGCTCACGAGGACGGGCGGCAGCAAGGCGGCGGAGAGGCCGCTGGTGGTGGGCGGCGGCGGTGAGACGCGGCGGCCCCTCCGCGACCACAGCACGCCAGCGGGGGGGAGGAGGAGCGAGAGGGCCGCGAGGCCTCCTCGACCCTCCAGTCTGCCTCCGGGCGAGGCCAAAGATCGCAGGGGAGGCGGCCCGGCGGGCGGCCTTTCGACTTGGGCCCGCGACCCGACCCCCCGAAAGGCGTCCGTCCACAAGCCGAGTGCCAAGCCGCTGAGGAGCATCCCCAAGCCGGCGCCCGAGGAGAAGATGTGCCGCTCCACCATGAGAGCGTTGGCGCAGGCGCAGGCTCAGGGCGGAGCCTCCTCCGAGGACAGCAGTTGCCGAGCGCTCGGCGCGAAGGACGCCGCCGACCTCCCCAGCTTCGCGCGCAACACGGTGGCTTCGACCTCCCGCACCAAGAAGGAGCTGGCGCCCCCGTCCGTCCCGTCACTGCCCTCCACGCCGTCTCGCAGCCCCTCGCTTCCCGTCCGACAGAGCCCGGCCAAGCAGAACAAGATGGCGCCCGCGGCTCAGGCCGGCGAGGAGAGGCCACGCGGGACCAACCTGAGGCGGGTGCAGAGCGTGAAGGCGGCCAGTCGCAGCGCCTACCGCAGTATGACTCCGCCCCCGGCGCGGGAAGATGTCCGCAAGACCAGTTGCATTTCTGAAAAGTCCGTCGACAGAGACCTGGTGGCGGGCAGCAGAGGCGCTAAACCCAGCTGGAAATAAAGCCCCCGGGGGGGGGGAGAGACACCGCGGAAGGACCAGAAGAAAGACGCACTTCCATGGAAACTTTCTGTTGGTTTGTTTTATTGTTGCTGCTCTTTGCCTTCCACAACGCAGACGTGTCCAATCTGAAAGAACAGCTCTTAAGCTATTCCCACACGTACGGATCCTCCAGCAGCTGATTATGGATCAGCTGCAAAGAGCAAGATGCAATGAACTGCTCGTCCTGTTTTGTTGCTTCTGTCCTTTTTTTTTTTTTTTTTAAGGGGCATTAACTAAACGAACAAATGGCGACTCGGCGCCGTTACCCAGCAGCCTCTTTGCCTGCTTGCAGCCGTCTAGTCGCTGCACACGCTGGTGTCTGTGACCACCAGCGACCACACGATGCTGCTCCGTCTCATTCAGGGTTGCAGGACGCGTTGTAGCTTCTCTTGCTGCTGTTGTGATGTTTTTTTTGTTTCACTGCTGCAGAGAATTGCTTCTCTTTGCCTTTTTGGTTCCTTTGCTCGATACCTCATGAAGATCTCAGTGGCCTTTGTACCAGCAGGAAGCTTAGAGTTTGTTGATTTGACTCTGCATGATAAAGATGTAGAGCTGACGAACATGTTTAAACTGCAATGTCACTTTTTACAAATCCCTGGTATATTAATGTTACTACAATATACAGTATGGGGTCACAGATTATGAGCCGACCGTGGTACTCGTTGTACCTCTTATATGTGAGTGTCTGTAGCTTGTAAATGTGTTAGAACTCCTCCATAATATCTTACGGAGTAGACGTGCACGTAGGAAACGTTTCCTGTAATCTAATACACAATCAACACTAATGCTTTGAGAGAAAAGCATTGAAATGATCAGAAGTCATGTGATTATATCGACATCCTGCTTTCAAGCTGCAGTCAGAGAGCATCTGTTATTCTGACAAATTTAACAATGTTTACTGCTGTTTCAACGGTATTTTCAGAATCACGTATAATAAAATAGATTAAAATATTATCTATCTATTAAATGCACGGCCCCAAATTCAGACAAAGTATCCCATGCAGGTAGCAAGAAATGACACATTGTGAATGTCACAAGAGAAATTACCACCATACTTTGTATGAAAATATTAACAATAAAAGTTAGTAGCTTTATGTATCACGTCGCACAAATTGGGCGAAATACGTTTAAGTGAACGCCTCCCAATCCAAAGAATTTAGCAGGAAATGTGAGCAATAAAACAAATGTTGACCTTCTGATGAAAACAAACGCGTATGTAAACACAACGAGCAAAATCACCATTGTCAGTCACCATAAATGACAAAGGTCACGTTGGGGTCACTATATTATTGATCTTTTTCTCTTTGTTACGGTTCGACGCGAGAGGCGCAAACTGTCGCTGACATTTCCGCCCCGTTGCTCATTTTCACACCACTTGCCTTTCAAACTGCATCGTGCCGTCGCCTCAAAGGGAGCGACTCCCGCGACTGTGTTTGGCCTTAAAGCTCAGTGGAGGCGGCCCATCACCCGTAGGAAGCTATTAGCACATCCCATCGCACGCAGCGGGTTAGTGACACACCTTGTACATAATGTAAAGATATATAGTATTTTTCTGACTATCGATCTGTTTACATGGCTTTAAAACATGAAGGGTGGAAAGCGTTGGGCGTGAGAGAGGGCGGCGTGTTGACACGCGGCCGGGTGTCTTCCTGTTGCCTGCGATGCAAATGAAGGGGACGAGCCGATGACACAAAAGGCCGAGTGTGACGTGCCACCGGGTGTGTTTGGCCCAAAAGCTTCTGATGCTCCATTGATCCGACCGATGCTTAACTAACGGTCCCTAAAAGTAAAAAAAAAAAACGGTGAAAAATGTACAATGTACAACATTTTTTCAAAACGCTTATTTCGCCCAAACTCAAAGACAATATCTTTTAATTATAGAAAGAATTTGCTTGTTTTCTAAGCACATTTGAGAATTTTAAAAATTCAGCTCTAAAGTAATTACGTTAATTGGCCGTAATTAAAGACGTCTTTTAATTTGAGCATGAAAAATCCCCTTTTGAACAATATTCAAAGCTCTGGGGGAAAAAAGCTGAAATTTTCTCAAGTTGCTCTTCCGGTAGATTTAAAATCAGTGATCGGTGAAAATAATCTGATCTTTAACTGTTTTATAAACAACGAAACCGATTTAAAAAGTCTTAAGCATAAAGTTTGCCTCACGGTTGAAATATTTAACTCAACTTTTGCCCCATCGGGTCACGACAACTTATGTCACAACTGTAGAAACGCACTTCCTACCAACCTGGACTCAATTCTCGATCCTCCACACTTCTCAGGGTCGTCCTTTGTGGGTCCCACAATGCCCCCTGCTGCCACCTTCTTAGCAGCCCCCCGCCCACACACCCCTAGCCCCGCCTCCCTCGCCCACACACCCCTAGCCCCGCCTCCCCCGCCACAATGGCTGCCCTTTGCTTTTCATCCGACCGGCCTGCTGCAGGATTTGAATACGCACTCGCCCTTTTCCACCACAGCTTCCTTGTTACAGGATGGTTTCCGTGGTAACGGGCCAAACATCCATTACCATTGCTGACTGAAGACCGCGTAAAACCCCAAAAGGTCAACATCACCACCACAAACCTTTTGTGGTGTGATGTTGTTTCCCCCGGTGCTCCACCAAAGCCCTAAACCTTGTTGCTTCTATAATAATGTAAACATGTATCCACCAAATGATTAAATGTGACATTTGTTGGCATTCATTTAACCCCAAGCAAGTCTTTTGTACACTGAAAAGTCACATTGCTCCTCTGTATTTCTGATGAAGACGTCTGAGAAATTAATAAAAATCACATGTTGCTGTGTAAACAGAAAACTGTCTGTTGAGTTCACTTTATCGTAAACGTTGTAAACGATTACAGCGGATCTTTAACGACTATAATGGCCTCAAATCTGACGTAGTCTGTATTTTTTATTTATTTGAAATTAATATATAAAAAAATAGTCATTTTATTTTCTGAAAATAAAGTTCTTTTAGAGTAAATCTTGAAGTATGATCCAGATAATTGACAATTATTTTATTTAAAAGACATTTCTTTTAGGAAGTTGACAAAGACACATTCAATTCATTCATTATTTTATTTGTACTTTTTTTTTGTATTTGCATTGTATCTCCACTGCCTTACATATTTTGAGTTTAATTCATGCGCCTGTTAGTTACAGATCAATTTGATTGATCTATTTTTTTTATCTATAGACATTACTATGATACTATAATTACTTATTTTGGCCATAATAATCCTTGAGTTTAAATTGTCTATTTTGGCAGACAAAAAAGGCAACTACAGGCTGTGCAGTATTTATAGTGAAGCAAAACCGAACACTTTAAATATTGAGCCTCTGCCAGTAAACCAGCAGAGTGCAGCAGAGCATCTCCTGCTGGAGACCCTCATCACGTCTCCGGGTCTGTTGGCAGGTTTGGAAGTCCAATTCTTAGCAGCTGCAAACCCATCAAATAATACAATATTGTTTTTGGTTATAGTGTTTGACGTTTCAGACTGATGTTGGATAAATGGAGAGAATGTAAATCGCATTATGTGAAAAAAAGGTTCATTACAACTAGACCAGGGAACCAGGAAACAGGTGCTTTCATGAACATTTTTACAAATAAATCATTACAATAACGAACTAAAAGCCAGAGTACCCGACATTCTGTTCAGTGATTTATTCCGTATTATTTAGGATAAATACTAGAGGCATTGACCAGCATTTAATGTCTAGCATGAGATGTCAAACGGCATGTGACCCGGCCAGTTTATCTCCGGATCAACGTGGCCGTGTGTGGCGGATTACGCTCCTCTCAATCCCTCCTTATCCCGCAGCTCAACCAGGATCTCTGCTTCCTACGTGTCATCGACGGCTACGATCGCCCGCTCTCTGGCTTTGTTCTTTTTTAGGGTAAAAGAGCAGCTGCAACGTGTTCTCCGGCTGGTCGAGTGCGTGATGAAACACGCGACGTGGACCGGGGGGAGGCCTCAGCAGCGTCCATCCTACACAGAGTGAGTGGCAACTTCTGTCCTTATCTGACTGCGGCCGCGGTTTCTGCAGGTTTAGAATCAAAAAGCACATCGATTCATGTCGCGTTCCAAATCCTCTTGTTCTCAATCATTATTGTGTTTACAACCTGTCAAATTGCCCCGGGAGTTCATGTGAGTTCGTCACATCAGGTGACCGTTTGTTCAGAGCGTTACCGCGCGGCGTCCAGTCGATGACCTTTAGTCCCCGTCTGCTTCAAAGGACAGAGTGTCTCGTCGGGCCTCTCTGACCTTTAACAAATACACATGAATGAAAACACGCCGACGCGCTGGGCGGCCGCGGAGGGATTATCAGCGCGAGATCAACGGAACGCCGCCGAGGACGAGCAGCCGGTTTAAACGCCCGCGGCCTCCAATCGGCAGGAGGGCGTTGAGGTCGTGCTTTTAGAGGAACGTACCGCGAGGCGGGACACGGAACTGACCCCCGCGGGCGCCGGGAGACAGGAAGGAGGAAACCTGGAGGAGGTCGGACATGGGGTGAGACACGCAGTTCAATTTCCGGTTTGGATGCTTTTTTTTTTTTTACCGGGGTCCAACCATTTGAACTATTTCTATAAGTCATTTTTTAAAAGATAACAAACGTTCTCTTGTGCCCGGGTGAGGTCACTTGCTGCTTGAATGTCATATTTTTGGGGTTTGAATAGAAAATAGTAGGATATTAATTTTTCAAATAACACTTTATATTGTTGTAAATAAAAATAATCAGCGCATTTTTTTTGCTTGTTGTGGAAATTTGCATTTGAATTATTGTTGGTTCAATCCACGAACGATCATTTCTGCCGTTTAAATGAAACATTAAAGTACAACTAACTGCATGACAAGGGAGAAACTAAAAGCACTGAGGAGCCTGTTTACGCTTAAAATGCAAAAAGCTTCATGGACACGACGTAATTATTCTTAAAAGTTAAAAAGCTTCTTTATCACCGCTTTCGAGTCAAGTCCCAATAATAGCAATAATTTCAGATAAGACTCCACATTAAACAACAGCCTTTTTTTCTTTAGAAGAAACCCCCTGAAATTACCAATCCCGCACTAAAGATTCACTGCAATCTGGTTGTCGACAATCAAAACAGCGTGAATGGAAGTTGGTGAATTATTCAGCAGCATTCAGCGGACTCTCTCTCTCTGATCCCGCCATGCTCGGCTGGACTAACGGTGGCAGCTGCAGCCGGAGCAGCGTGACGTGATGGTCAAATTATGGTCGGGATATTCAGATTTTGTCCTGAAACTCGTATGAACATAATATTAACTCGCACAGCAGTCCGGGTCTGTTAAAGTCATTGGCTGTTTACAGCTTGTTTCTTGGATGCCGTGATTTCTTCATGTCGTTCACTCAATGGAAAACATTGTTGGTTTATTTCCCGTTTGAGTTTTGTCCCTTCATTTCTTCATCGCTTGTGTTTAATGCTCTTAAGAGCAACTTGCTGTTGTGGATCTGCGCTGCTTGAGTTAAAGTCATTTCAAGTAAAAAAAACGAAATCTTTGCACCGAGTCTGTGACTGTGCACTGAATGCTAATCAGGTATCCTTTGAGTGGGCAACGCACGCAGACACACACACACACGGCACATTAGTTTTCTTCATCAGTTTTCGGCCTTCAGATTCTTCAGATCTCCCCCATACATCCAAACAATGAACCTCACCGCCTTTTTCTATCCCACCGAATCTGTCATGGAAAAGGAATGCAAACTTGTTTCTGTCTTTTATTTCTTTTCTTCTTACTTTTTTTTAATCTGAAAAGAGTCTTTCATGGACTGCTGCATAATCTAGGGTTGTTATGGCAACATCCTCCTCACAGGAAGGGAGGGGCTTGACTGGAAACCATAGTAACTATGCCTGGGCCGGGATGTCCCGTCAGGAGATTTTCACCAATTTTCTCCTTTGAAACGTTTTGTATATAATTAGCTCATAAAAGATTATATTTTCTACTCATGTATTCGTTGAATGAAAAATAACGGGACGTTTTAGAAAGCATTTTTTAACCGTCATATAAATACAATAAACACGGCAGCAGTCAAAAATACTAATTTCTTCACAATAATCCAATAGGTTAGCTGACTTGGAGGTAAAGAAGAGGATCAACAGACCGTCAGAGGTCAGAGGTCAATGAGGCACCAAAGGCCAAACATCAGCGGTGACTAGAAACGAGTTAAAGACTTTATACTAATAACACAGAAATCCTTAATGTTCTCAATTTCTATCCACACGCAATCACATACACATCGACTTGATGAAGATGAAGATACAACACAAACACTTCAGTCGCATCTGAGTAAAGTGAAATTTAGTGAATCTATTTGCTCAACCGAGCACACAGGTTGACAAATAGAAAAACCATGAATATCTTATGTCCTCATCAATTAACTCCCACTCAGCTATTCAAACCATCTGTTTAGTGATCACTTGTTACAATGACATAAGATTTTTTAAATACAAAACCATAAATCCCATCGAGCAACACAATGCTGTATTTTTTTCTTCTTCTTCTTCTTCTTCTTTTAGTACACCCAACGTGACCTGCCAACAAACGTCCTGTTTAACCACCGAAGGGAAAAACAGAAATTATTTAGTAAGGCTATTTTTACGCGTGGATGTAATATCGAGAGTCTGATTGGCTGCGGCTGCATCCGGCTGCGGCGGCCCCGCCCTTTTACTGGCGGCGGGCCGCGTCCCTTTAATGCGGGAGGTGGGAGCTGCTCTCGGGTCAGCTGCAGTGTGTGTGTGTGTGTGTGTGCGCGCGTGCGCGTGTGCGTGTGTGCGCACAGCAGCAGGCGGGACGCTGCGGGGACGAACACACACGGAAAGTGCGGAAAGTACCGGACGGATCGCCGCCTGTCAGCCGGCGCGTGCGCTTGCGTCATCGTGAGATAGAACGACACTTGGGTGAGTGAATTGCATCTTTAAGCGGTTCATTTTTTTTTTTGCAGAAAACGTGACCTGAGATTGAATGAACGTCCTTTCGATTCTATGGGGAGACTTGTCGATACGTGCACGAGCGAAAGGAATTAATATTAAAAATGCATCCAAACCGTATAAAGTGCTACACTTTCTGTGTTGCAACAGCAGGTTTTTACCAGTACATGCCTGCAGCAGACGTGCGTGTGTGTGCGTGTGCGTGTCAGCCTCTTAAATCTGCCGAAACTTGAATGGAATTCTGTACTGATGCACTTTCTGACTCCTGAGTCAAATTGGGTGTTTTCTCTACGTGCATTATTCCACGTGCACACGCTCAGCATGAATACATATTCCGAATTAGTGTCACTAATCGAGACTCTAAAGTTATTTGTGGTAGTGAGGTGGAAATCGAGCCATTGTAAATATTCTTCCAATTCCTCAGCAATGATTCATTTAATTACTTTATTTTTCCCTTTTGAGTTACTGTAATTAGATTTGATATTAAAGTTTAATACAGCAGTGAAGTAATATGAATAATCTGTGCATTTCAAATCAAAGGCTTTCATGCCAAAAGGCTTTGACTTTTTAACTTTCTGCTTGAACGCTTTTATCAAATGAAAAACTGCAAGGATTTATTTTAGACTGGATAATTATCCATAATTCATTGATACCTTCCGGTTCACATGTGACTCTCTCTGCCTCTATCTCGCCTTGATGGCCGAGCCCTCGTTTCTCTACCGCTGCTGTTTGCTTTTCAGTGACATTAGAGGAGCTTTAGTGCAATAAGTGATTCTGTTAACTGGAAGTGGAGGTGATGCATTAAAGGCTGCATACTGTAACTTTCCCACACGCTGCGATACGCTGTGCTGCTGCAGCTGTGGGAATGT